CTCTGTCTGGCGTTGGACCGATGATGATGGTGTGAACATACCCATGGTCTCTTCAATCCACACCGCCTGACTCCCCGTCAAATTCGCCATCTGCTCAACATCTGGAAAATAAAACTCCCCCTTCTCGACATTATTATTCGGCGTAAACAGGTTCTTCTTCCACGGCAGCCTGAGAAGTCCCTCTACAGTCACAACGCCCTTCTTCAACCCGTCCGGCCTCTTCTCCTGCTGCTTCATCTTCTTGCTTATCCAGCCCCGATTGACCAGCACCGTAGTGCCCTCCCCGTCCCTCTCTAAGGGCGTAATCACCAGGTACCCCTCTGTGCCGTCATGCATGCGCGGTCCGATGAGCATTTCCTGGTCGTGGCGGAAGATGCCCGTGGCGTAGATGCGGCGGTAGTCGAACTCGTGGATGGCGGAGGGGTCGACGTGTGGCGGGAGGGGGAGCGGGGGGCGCACGAGGCGGTCTTCGAACTTGGCGATGAGTTTTGACTTCCAGTCCAGGCGCTGGACTTGCCATGTTCCGAGGGCGAAAGCTGTGATGGGGATGAATGCTACGCAGGAGTATATTCATTAGCGAGCTGTTCCTGGGGTGAAGGGTAGAGTAGAGGTGAGAGCTTAGGGAGGGGGGGGGGAAGGAAACGTACCGAGGATAATCAGGCCGGGTCCATGTCTCTTCCCAGTACGCACCAGAGTCGGCGGGTTGTCGACTATAGACATGAAGTTCGGGTCATCCGCCGGCTGGGCTTTCGCCCTCGGAGTGCTCGTAGAAATGTATCTGCATTGCGGACATGTCCTCCCCCTTTCCCTTATCCCCTTTGAAACCCTAGATACCGAAGCTGGCTTGAAGCTTCTAGCTAGCCGCAGAAAAGTAGCTGAAGCGTTCATTGCGAAGAGTGTGCTGTGTTGTGTGTGGTGTTGATATTGACATTGACATTGACATTGAAAGTTCACTGAATATGCGAATCACGCCCAGTCGTCAATTGCCAGGACTAGCGCACGCTAGCTAGCGTAAACGGCTGTCTTGGCTTCCCGCCCATAAAGCTACCGCTACCCTTGTCCTCCTTCTCCGCCTACGGACAACATCAACATCAACATCAACATCTTGACATCTCCACCACACATACAAGAAAACTTCACATCAACCTTTCTCAACTTCAACAAGATGTTCTACCAAGGGGATTTGAAGAGTGGTATTGAGAAGGCTCTCGCAGAGTCCAAGCTTGTGGCTTGTTTTGTCACTGGTATGCCTCCAATATACATCGATCTGGCTCACGCCTTGAACAGAGTCTTGGTCTTGGTCTAACATCTGTCTAGATAGCGGCGAAGAGAGTCAACTTTGGGAAAATGAATTTTTGCAAGAGGACTCAGTAAGTCATCTGAGGAATGGAATTCTGATGGTCACCTGCTGATAATTTGGAATAGTTGAAGTCAGCTTTAGCAGATAAAACTATCCTGCTCCGTTTGGTAGCTGGGTCTGAAGAAGCTGGTTACCTTGCTGCTATATTTCCTTTGCCCCAAACTCCTACCTTTGTTCTTATTCAGTGGGTTTGCTTTTCTTTCCGTTTTCTTTCTGTTTGCTGCACATGCGTTATATATTCGCTGGGCATTCCTCACTCTCATCCTCTCCTCCCTAGCTAAACCTAGGAACTGCTGTATATCTGGACTCAATTGCACTTAAGATTTCTCCAGCAACGTCCAACCGCTAAATATCTATTCAGCAATGGCAACCTTAAGGAATACATCGCATCCGGCGTTCAGAAAGATGAGTTTTTGAAGCGTCTGGAAGTAGTCATGGCTTCTCGTGGTGCTGCCGAAACATCCCCAGCTACTTCTACAAGCCAAGATGCCGCCTCATCTTCAACTGCAGGCCCCTCTTCCTCGACCCAGCAAGCAACTACGTCCACCAACGCCAGAGTTGAGCAGCAGACGGCTCATCTCCAAGAGGTCCTCGCTGAGCGCTCTGCACGCCTTGAGAAGCAGAAAGCTGAGCAAGATGCAAAGGAAAAGAAGCAGCGTGCAGCAGACGCCAAGGCTCGCCGCGAGGCTGCAGAATCCGCAAATCCTCGGTCGGCTGCCGACCATAAGTATGCACAACAACAGCGCCAGCGTCAGCAAGAGGCGCGAGAGGAGAAAGCTCGTATCTTGAAGCGAGTTGAGGACGACAAAGCTGCGCGTCGTGAGGCCGCTGCTGCCCGAAAGGCACAACGTGAGGGTAAGGGAAAGGAGGTCGAGATCTCCGGCGACAGCAGTTCTGCATCTGTTAGAGGTGCAAATGCCAAGGAGTGTGCCGTGCAAGTACGCCTCTTTGATGGCTCGACGATCCGCTCCCGCTTCCCATCATCCGGTACACTCGCAAAGGACGTCCGCTCTTGGGTAGACGAGAAGCAGGAGGGAGATGTCCCCTACACGTTTAAGCAAGTCCTCAGCCCCTTGCCCAATAAGAACATCGAGGCGAGCGAGGAGGAGAAGAGTCTCGCGGATATCGGATTGACCCCCAGTGCGACGTTGATTCTCCTTCCAGTCGCGGGTTACATCTCGGCTTACGAGGGCAATTCCAACTTGGTATCGAAGGCTGTCTCGGGCGGATACGGGATCGTCTCATCCGGTGTGGGAATGGTCACTGGCGTCTTGGGCAGTTTCCTGGGCGGTTCTCCCTCTTCGGGTCCTGCGCAAACAGCACCACCACCACGCCAACCTGGGGCCCCATCCTCTCCGTCCGTTGCCATCAATGTCCGTAGTCTTCGTGACCGCGAGCCGAAGAAGGACAAGCAGCAGTTCTACAATGGGAACGCAGTAAGTTTTCAACCTTCCTCTTCTTCTCACCTCAAACTGAACTAATTGCTTTTTCAAGACGAACTTCGAGCCTCGCAAAGACGACGAGGACGGAAAGGACGATTAGCTCGAACAAATTTGGCAAACACGAGGGACAGCGGCATCAAAATTTGGAGTCTGGATTGGCATAGGCGTCAGGAAACAGGAAACATTGCAAGGCGTCCGGGCTGGCACGAAACACCCATGGAATTTCTTTTTGACTATTCATTTTGCGTAGATTGTACTTTTAGGAACCAAAAATGGGCCCCCAGCCAGCTTTTCTCTTTTTGACGGGGTTCCACAGAAGCAATGAAACATTTTGCCATCTCCCATTTTGTGCAGAATTCTCTCTGGTTCGAATATCCTCGTGATGGAGGATCACCTACCTACCTACCTACCTGAGCCTGTCTGGAGTTCCAGAATCGGGTCTTGACGTCTGTATGGGACGAGCCAAGTAGCTAATTACTGAATGAAGTAAATCCGAGTTCGATAATACCAATTAATATCACCACTTTCTCGGCAGGAAAACCCGCGAACTGGGTGGGCGTTCCGTACAGGAGGCGAAGCGATTTATTCATGAAAATGCCCGAGTTCCATTAATGCCGATTCCATTAGACTACCTCTCACACGCTGGAGTAGAACGGGATTGCTTCCTAGGCACAGTTACACAACACGACTTTCTATTTCGCTCTCAAGGGGTATCATCTATCTTCGACGCCAACTCTGAACGCCAGGTCTTCCGTGACCAGTCCAGTCTACTACTACAAACGCAGACCACAAACATCTAACCAAACCGAACATCAAAAGTAGTTGCGAAACGCAAACCACAAAAAATATGGAGAAATCATGGTGGCACCTCCGCACCCGGTACAATTACTGTATCTCTCGCAATGAGAGTTGTCCGGAGAAGGCTGGCATGTTCTCATTTATGGGAGCGGCGTTGTTGTTGAAATCCTGTAGACACTGGACCTGCTCCGGGTGCAGAGGAGGAACCTGCTCGGGGGAGATGATGCTGTTGATGTCCATACTCGTGTATGGCCCAGACATGACATTCTCGCCCATCTGCCCCGGATTTCCATTCATGAGCCAGAAAGAGCTGTCTTCCCATTCGCCCGCCTGCGAGAAAGCCGGAGCTTCCACGCTGGGTAGCTGGTAGAAGCTGGAGCCTGTCTGAGAGAATGAAGAGGCGTCCATGCTGGGTAGATGGTTGGGGATGGCATCCTGACGTTCAGGTCGTGTACTCTTTTCGTCGGTCGGCTGCACTTTCGATGGGTTATCGGTTATCCCTGCCTTCTCTTTCGAGAGATCAGCATTTTTACATTCTTTGTGACGTTTCCAATGGTCTTTGAATCGGTTTCGGAACCGGTCCCGAAGGTCTGTCGGCGTTCTGTGCCCGAAATTGGAGAATCTAGGGTCATTCATGGCTTTAGACCAGTCTGAGCCGTATATTTTCCAGGCTGCGAAAATTTTAGTGTCCTCTTCGGCTGTGAAGTGAACATTTGGTCTACGAAATGAACCCTTAACATTGGTGACCTCAATCCCCGAAATCTCAGCGAACCTTTCATTAGTGATCCGCTCAGACTTGCGCTTGGTTTTGTTGGTCCTTTTTCGCCTTCCCGTGGGCGTGAGAGAGTTTGAACAGTCATCACCAGAGATACTAGATGGCCGCTGCTGTGGCTCTGTCTGTAGGCCGGGTGGGCAAATAGTTCGCCAGCGGTCCTTCAAGTCGGAAGTATTTCTACATTTGAGAGCGAAGATGGGCTTGTATTCGGGAAGCTCGAGAATATTTTTCCAGTCACCGAGCCCCTTCTTACCAACACCACGTATCAAAGCGAACGTCTCATCTTCGTCCCAAGGCTTTCTTGGTCCCGACTTTTTCTTTGGTTTCGGGGCTGACTTTGGTGGGAGTGATGGTTCTTCCAGATCATTCTCCTGGGCGTTCAAGGAGCTATGAACATCGTTGCTCACGACAGGAACTGTCACAGGAGCCTGCGATGAGACCGTAGTGTACGTGTTAATTCCTGTTAGTTCCTGAGTGGATTCTTCAGAGTAATTGTGTTCGGTGTTGAAGGACAGGTCGCTCCTAACCTTGAGCTCGGGTTGTTGTGGTTGGAAGTGAATGTTGAGAATATTCCACCCGTGGTTGTCATGGATTGAGCTTGCCACTGGTTCATACTTCCCGCTTTGATGCTCGTCGGGGAGTTCGAGGGCAGGCAGCATAGGTGGCAGAGTGGGTTTTGGCTGTTTCTTGGTCGCCGGTGGCTGTGGAAGCTGACGATCTTTTTTACTGGGCTCCATTGTTAGACTCCAGTTAACAGATCCTGCGGTCATCGTATCCATGCTGGGGTCCATAATGGTATTCAGATCCTGTCTTGACGAGCCGCCCATGGACCTATCAAAACTGCTATCCCCGATATTATGCGATGCATCGGCCCTGTATGCCGTCGGCATGCCAAAGTCGAAATTACCAGCATCATCATTTGAAATCGTCCCTGGGTTGGGCCGCGAGTCTCTATGGAGTTGTAGAGAAGGCTCATCATTTAGCAAGCTCACATTCGGTTCGATAGGTGCTGGACCACCTGTATGCTTCGCGACGTTGGGAGTGTGGAGCGGAGGAGCGGCCGGATTATAGAGTTCTGGACCGTCAATCGGCGGATTGAGGACATCCAACAAGAACGGGTCGATGGTATTGCCACAGTCCATCCCAGGCAGTAAGGTATCGATCGAGGGAAGAAGAGGAGAGGAGAGACGAGACGGATGCAGGCAGACGCGATGAAGAGATCAGGTCCCACGGGGAGATTGCTGCAAAGGAAGAGGAGGACATTGATATAGTGGGTGAGTGGTCGAAGACCCGGAGATGGGTAGACAATCAGTATACTACTATTGTGTAAGTAAGCGTGTGTGTATGTGAGTGAAGTGAAGTGAAGTGGAGGAAATATCTACGGAATCTCAGCCTTGTCTCTTGGCGCCGGTCGAGAAATGCCAGCAAACTAGCCGGCCTGACAGCCTCGCCTTAGTTCGCGTCCTCACACCTACCCCTTACCCTAGCCGGAAAGTAAACAAAACAATACTCTCCAGTTCCAAGTGAAATACAAATATTTCCAAAAAGGAGGCAATCATGACTTCTATCCTCCCTCCCATCCCCCGCTTTATGTTCACTGTTTTCGAGCCCATCTCCCTGTAAGCTGCAAGCCTATCGCCCCCTCAATCTTTCCCACCAATCCTAACATATCACTGCAGAATAGCTGGATGCCTCGGAGCCTGGATATCAGCAGAATGGTTCGTAGCTGAACAGATCCCCAATTCTGTTCAAACAGCTCTATCAAACAATGCAACCACTGTGACCTACCAGTACGTCGAACCATTACTCCTCCCAGCCCGGCCACGAATGGGCATGGCAATCTACATCCTAAATATGTAGATCTAACATTTCATACATAGACTCGGCAATTGTTATTTTCTTCTATGCTTGATTGGCCTTGGCGTCCTGTATACGACAACCGAAGCAAAGGTTGTCCGCAACTATGTGGTAGCTCTCTGGCTAGCGGACATCTCTCACGTGGGTATCACGTACTGGATGATCAATTATGATCAGAAGATCGCTATTACTGATTGGAATGTGACGACTTGGGGAAACATTGGCTTTACGGTAAGGGCCCCCAAGCTTCGTTCCCCGACGGTACCTAACTTGGGATCAGGTGTTTTTATTCCTGATTCGTACCGGCTACCTTCTCGGTCTCTTTGGACCCGATCGCAACCCCGTGGTTCCGAGGAAGAAGGCGCAGTGAGAGGCGTGGAGGTCAATTCGAGTAGAGTTGTACGTATACGATGGCGAATTTCTTTAAGGACAAGATGACGGTGCATTACATTTTATACCCCACGTTGCCTTTAACATCTGCCCTTGTCTTTTTATAGCTTTTGCCAAAATCAATGTGCACTTGTTTCGTCTATTCGCACAATCAGTCTTAAAGGGCTATCACCCTCTAGTTGTTTACAAGCGTCCTTATCAAAGCGTCTCTTCTAGCTCTTGATCGTTGCGTTCTAATTGCCTAATTTAGTCAGGTCTACGTCTCAGACGCGAAGCCCACGTCTGATTACAGAGGCGATTGATAACCGCTATCTGCACCCGGACTTGCGCTTTTCCCGCCTTATTGCTGGCCGACATATATCAGTCTGGAGAGGTGTCATTTAGGATCTTAGTCAAATAGAGCTCAGTCTCTAATTTGATATAGAGAAATAGAGATGTATGCAATGCGTGACGAGAACCGTAAGAGATCTTTTTGGTAATTGCGCATACTCTCCTTATGTTTTCGCTACCCTTACTCCACTGCAAGCCGTGTGCTGTCTCTTTACTTCCCATGCCTGCCTCTCGGCATCCAGAAGAAGAATATTAGGCATCTTAAAAGTTCCGACTGATATTCGCATGTTGTCATTTGTCTTCAGCACCGCTATCTCCGGCACCGCTGTCTTTAGCGCGGCCATTTCCAGCGCCGTCTGATATTAGCTATATTGGTGTGTATATTTTACACACTCTCGTACATAAATTCGATTAAAGCACAATCGATCCCTGCTACAATTATCCGTATAAGTTACATCTATTTTTAGGTTGTCGCGGGCTCATGCATCTGTTCAGACCTTCATCGACATCCTTGTCGGTTTGTCCAGCGCTAGAAAATAGGTCTTTCATATCGTGTATAAAGATTGACATCTTCTAGTAAACATGTGCAAGTGTCTTGCGCATCCAACAAAATATCTTCAGCAATTGAATTCAGAACGAGAGAAGGAAAACTTTTGTTGGCTTACATAATACGAGTCACAGGAGAAAAGAAGGGGGAATAACGTATTCAATTGCATTTGTAACCCAGAACCCAAACTTGGGTTTCTGAATGAATTTTGCCCCGGGTAGGGGGTCTCCGTCTATTAGTTCGAGACCGTCACTTTATCCGCACCATGTATCTAAAAACATGGAAGGCTATTCCCCTACTTCTACTATACTAGCCTTCTCGCCTCATTTACTGCGAGAACAAGTCGGGAAAATTTAAATATGCAGGTGCTAGATAATCATCTAAACGAGTAAATAGTCCGAAGAGCTGTAGACTGTGCAGCCGGGCCCAGGAAACCGATTGACCTTGCATTGCTAGCTTTGCGAGTATATATTTCCGCCAAAGCACTCGCATAAGTTTCTATGGGTAGGTACTAAGACAGAATCTCACAAGAGATAGCTGATAACTTAGGACCCGCCAAAAACCAGCCTGCTGCTCCTGTGTCTCAATCGGCGCTTGAACGATAGAAGGCTAATACGGGTAGCGGTCTAATCACTCCGCTCTAGGCTCTACAATTCTGTGCTACAGAGTTACATAGGCTTTTTTTTTTCTCATATCATAGTGCCCCTTCTACGTCTGCTTGTCAAAACCAAGATTCATAATAAAGTAGAGTTCTTGCCGTCAGCTAAAAATCTGCCGTCGTATTCACAAATGGATGTCGGACTTGCACGAGCTTCCTGTTTATGAAATGGTTTGAAGGCTGTTAGCTAAACATTACTGCTCCTAGCTGTAGCCCAAAGAGATATTATCGCTCGATACTCTCATGCATTGCTTCCAATTGCTAAAACCATTATACGTATTCCATCTGGGGTTCTGGATTGGAAACTTGAGGAAAGTGTCGTCTATCTGTAATATGTAAGTATTTATTTACTCGGCCATGCTCCTAAGTGGAAAAAACAGCACTGAAGGGCTTGATTCGAACTGACACCAACCACATTCGTCTCCCGTAAGCTGGCGTTTTTGATTTAATAGATACAAGCTTTGCGCCCTTCATAGATCGCACTCATCTTGACTTCGTCCAGAACAGACGAGTTGATACAGGCTGCACTGAGTAGAGGGGCTGGGAGTCAGCTGACTCTAGCAACATTTATCTAAAAGAGGAAACAGGATGACTATGAGTTCGATGATGAACTCTCTCTATACCTCACTTCATGGACCTCGAGCCCAGCACATGCTAAACAGAAACTCGCTACACTTTGCTATCAATGCTGATGACATTGTCAATTCATTGAAAAGCAATACTTGGGAAGACAGATTTGGGGGATAAGATAGTTTGCAAGATGGATGGATTGATCTTCGAGAGAGCTATGTGCAACGTGAGAGTATATACTCCTTCACTGGTGGTCTGTACACCTTAGTAGCCTGGTGGCCTAGGGCCGCAACAAGGACCAACAGTTATATTTCCTAAACAAAGTGGGAGAAGAGAGGATGATCATTCTTCTAGAGGACACGAAAGGCTATGTACTTATGAGATACGCTAAGGAGTCGTAATGTCATCAAGGTCGGTTTCTCCTTCCCTTAGCTTTCTCCAACAAAGATGACATTTTTATAGGTGGCCAAAGGAAGAGAGAAGAACCACGAGTTCATCATAATATGGAGCTAAAAATCATGAAATGGATTCTTGTTTTTCTAGAACAGAAAACAGACAGCCTCTGATTTGGCTTTAGTCGAAAAGTACCGCTTGACCTTGGTACAACTCAGAATCCCTCCGCTCTACAGTACTTCTTTCTATGCATAAACTTGGCCGGGCAGTAGTAGCACTGACTATTACCTATTGCTAGTCGGGTCTCACTTAGACTTAGCTTGGTCTTCCAAGATGCTTTTACGCTCGTCCCTGGAGGCCGTTGAACGTTCCTATACTTATTGCTATTCTTGCCCAGTATATTCACCCCCTCCCCCCCCTCCCACCAAAAGGATGACTTGGGTAGCGCCGATCAAAATGCTTTTTCCATGCTCGAGAACCGAAGTATAAAGTGCCATCCTGCCATCCCAACATATCCACAATCCCACAACATAGAGCCGGGCTTTTACAGAACTTCACCTTCATTCCCCATCCATCATCTTCGATTTATTTTCCGGAACCATGTACAGCCACCGCACATATTCATATTATTTAAGCCATGGGATAATGCAAATTTTCACGTCACGTCACGTCCTGTGAAGTGCTGCCAGTGAATATATTATCGCTAGAGGTGGAAATATTGTCAAATGGATACGCGCTGCCCTCAAACACACTTGCTTGAGAATTCGTCAAGCATCTCTCATCTTCGGGTATTCGACTTTTACCTGGTCCTAGAAAGCAGCCTGGCCCGCCGAGTTTGCCTAGTATTCACGAGAATGGTAATACTCTCCATTCCACATACTTTTACAAAGACCCAATATATTCTTGCTCTTGGACGGATTCAAAGTGGAGGATTCTCACGGCACAGGACCACAGTTCAAGATGGAAAGATGGTAGAAGTTTATGCACAGTAGTTCAGTGGAGAAAGAGGTGAATCACACTTATGTTGAGAGTATCTCTATCTCAACTGTCTCTCACACGATCGCACTCGATCATATAGTTCCCTACACAATACTTTGTTCACATTCGCCCCCGAGTCATCATAATCAAAAACAACTACCGAAATGTCTACCATGGTGTTTGAGGGGTGCATTCATCGATACTTCATCGCTGCAACTAAGCCACAAGCTAATCGTACCCCTGGTCGAAGTACAAATCAGAGGCAGGATTGTAGTTCCCTCCGCACCGCTATCAACGTCCAAACTGTTGCCGATTATGATTCGGAAGTTCATTTGGCCTCCAGGCGCTGAATTCTTCCCCCAGTCTAAGTAATTTCCACCGTATATCTTCCGCAGCTGAGAGCGTCTCCGTCATCCATCTCCCCAGGCCGTTCCCATTCTCTTTCTGGCCTCTTCCAGGCGCTGAAAAGTTCCCCCGGTCTGTCTGCGCCGTGAATTTCCCGTAGCCAGGAGCAGATGGTAACCAGAATTTTTACAGCGCTTAGCGAGAAAAAAAAGACTCCGTTCCTTTTAAAGTCCAGTTAGCAGATGGCAATCAGGATGGTAGTAACGCTCGGCGAGAAAAAGAATTTGTTGCTCGAAGTCCAGCTACTCGCGATGATTGAATATGCTGTCGAGATGACGCAACATATTTCGAAGAGTAGAGAGACAACCAAACCGAAACGGGTGAGCTCAGCCCTCGCTGGACAGGGGGGACCGAGGGAGTGAGTGTGTGTTGGGGGATTATCGGCGAGCTTTTATTAAAAACATCATTTTAGCAGATACAGTCAGCACAGCTTCCTCCCGTATCATAGAAAGAAGAGAGAGAGTCTTGCCTCCACTCAACTCCTAAAAGGTTGTCTAGGCACCACAGACGCGCCTTTCGCCGACGGAGCAAGCAGCGGAAAGAAAGGTAGCCAGCTAGTAGGTGAAAAAAGGTTCGAACTTTGTTCGCTGAGCCGGAGAGGTTTACAGAGAAAATGAAGAATTTTTGCGCGAGGGCGAGCAGAGTCCACAGGTTACCTACCCGCTGCTATCCAGATGCCCGTTGCTGCCATTCGGTATGTAACTGTGTTGGCAACCTCAGATGGGGCTGGCGAGTTGAATGACAACAGTTTAATCAAGGCTGTAGACGAGGACGCAGGAAGAGCGCAGAGCTCGTTCTAAGAGCGGGTTTGGTGTCGGGGTGACAGAAGTCGATACGGAGAAGCACTTTGGCGACGAATAACGCCAGCACTTGTATCGTGTGAAAGGCCTGTTGGAGAAGGAGTTGTCATGACTGCGGGTGCTGAGAGGTCTTGTTATAGTTGTAGAATAGAAAGAGAGGAGGAACATTTTGAGAAGAAGGGGTGCTTAAGGGCGATTTTGGTAACTTCCAAATCTGCGATTTGGATCGTAATCGAAAGGTGTGATTTAGCGTTTGGTAACTGACGCGTGTGATTCTTGTTGTGATTACGATTCTGGGATACTATTAAAATTGCAAATCCTCGGGGATCATAGAAAATCGAATGATCGCGAAGGATTCGTTTCTCCTAATCGTAATTCCCTTTCATAATAATAATCCCTTCTCTATACTCTTGAGCCTTGCCTCAAACATTGTTGAAGTTCTCGTTACATCGTAATTAGCTTTTATTTTTATTTTTAAAATAGCTTTGCTCACTTACGAATTGATTCATATCAAGGATACCTTTCTACGACTGAAGGGTAGATCGGCTATAGCAAATGCGCGGCATTGTTGAATTTATAAGTCGGCAAAATCGCAATCATATAAAACGATTTATTTATCAAACAGAACTTACTTGTAAAGAGAATTAAATTCAAGGGGATTGCGATTATTCCTTGAGGAACAAATTTTGCGATTCACGGCGATTCGGCACGCAAGAGTTACCAAACGCGCCCCAACAGCAAGGCTAAGTAAGCAAACGAATTGCTTCCGTAACGGCCATGTGCCATGGTGATGATCGATTTAGTCCCTTTTATAGAGCCAGGTACAGACAGGTAAACTGTAAACACATCCTCTAATCGAAAATGTCGCCTCTTAGTCTCGACGACCTGATTTGAGGGGAGATTCCACTCCACACATCCCAGAACGTACGCATTTGATAATGAGGAAAAATCAAAGCAGGTAAAAACAAATACCATTACATAGAACACAGCATATAGCGTCATAGATAAACAAAGCAAAAGAAGTACCAGCTTTCAGGGAGTTGAGGCTGAGACAATCGATGCGGCCGTTCTCATTAAAGATTTGGAATATTTGTAGCAATACCATCTCCACCATGCCTTACGGAGTGGAGCCACGATGTGTCGTCAAAAAATCGAGTAAATAAATTCGGCTACCTCACCGCCTCCACGCCAAGCGGCAGAACTCTAGTTCCCCACTAAAAAAATTCCCAAGATAAAAGTCGCAGCGCATATTATCACTTTTTCCCATTGCACTCAGCAAATCTCGGAATCACTACCAACAATGGGCAAAGCACGAACAGAAGCCACGCGCGCCGAGCGCAAAGCAAAGAAGCGCGCTGCCGAAGACCAAATCCCCGACGTGCCTGATGCGTGGACCGCAGAGCCTGAAGTCGAAAAGGCCGTCAAGAAAGAGGATAAGAAAAGGAAGAGAGATGTAGCTGGGGAGGATGAGGAGGCTACTCCTATCAATGGGGAGAAAGAAAGCAAAAAGGAGAGAAAGAAGAGGAGGAAAGAGGCCGGGGGAGAAGGGGGGACTGTAGAGGATAGCAAGGTGGTGAAGGAAGAGAAGAAGGCCAAGAAGGAGAAGAAAGCCAAGGTTGAGGAGGAGTCGGCTTCGAATGTGGAGATGACAGATGCGCCGGTGGATAGAGAGCCAAAGAAATCAAAGAAAGAGCGCAAAGCCGAGCGCAAGGCGAAGGAGGCTGCTGAAGCTGCTGCGAATGCGGCGAATGCGGCGATTGCGGCGAAATTTACTACTGCGACAGCTCCAGTTCTGGAAACCAATGGCGAAAAGAAACCATCGGCGAAGGGCGAAGCGGCCGAGGAGAAGACTTCGAAAAAGAACAACCGGAATCGGGAGAAGAAGAGGAAGGGCAAGGCTACGGGTGCCAACGGAGAAGCTGTCGAGGGGCAGGCAGAGGAAAGCCATGCCGCTCCAAAATTCATTGTATTTGTTGGTATGAGCGCCCTCCTCACCAAATTTCTCGAGGATACCGACGCTGATAAATAATTGTAGGCAACCTCCCGTTCACGGCAAACACCGCCTCTATAACGAAGCATTTCGCCTCCATAAAACCCAAATCCGTGCGCGCGCTCACCGAGAAGGAGAATCCGACGAAGAGCAGAGGAATCGCCTTCGTCGAGTTCGAGAACTACGACCACATGAAGACGTGTCTAAAGCTGTTCCACCATTCGATGTTTGACGATGGGAAGAGCGCGCCGAGACAGATCAACTGCGAATTGACGTGAGTCCTGATACTCCCCATACCCTCTCCACTCATCCATCACAGGAATAAATCTTGCGGCAGAGAAGCTGGGGAATAGACACGTGCTGACACGTTGTTTACAGTGCAGGAGGCGGCGGCAACACCAAAGCCCGTAAGGAGAAAATCTCCGAAAAAAACATCAAGCTGAACGAAGAGCGCGCGCGCCGGATCGCGGAGGAGAAGACGGCCAAGTTGGCGAAGCAGGCTGAAGGCGGCGGGAAGAAGCATGAGCTGGGCGAGGATGCGATTCATCCCAGTCGGAGACGACAAGTCCCTACTTGAGTGCCGGGCTGTTGAATTGCGTTGTATATCCACGAGGAAGACGTCGCGGACTCTGGTATATAATTTTTTGGTACTGAATGCTTGGATGAGAACTTGTTCACGGAGCCGGGAGGGGAAAAAAAAAAGAAATGAATATTAATCCGAAGCCGCTTAGGCTACTCTCTCCATGTCTTCCATCTGATAAAGATATCACTCTAGTAAAACAACCCCGTCGTTTCCAACAGACTGTCAAGTTATCCGGCCCGGTCAGTCCCACAAATATGCTCTACATATGTACACATATATACCTTTCCCGCAGCAGATATCCAAATGCCACTTACTCACTCACTCACTTACTGCCTGCTTAAGTAAACGACAGACTTTTACCTATCCAATCCTATCCTATCCTATCCTATGCAGCCCTTCTCTCTCTTCCGTCCTTTTTCTCTTTCCGTCTATTCTTGCTATTTACAAGACAAGCTTTTCATACCAGTTACTTACCAATCCAATCCAATTTATCCAAATCGAACCGAAACCTCTCTCTTACCCATCTCCTTACTGACTCACTTACTACCTACCTCATTCAATACAATACAACACAATAAAATACAACACAATACACAGAGACCGTCTCCCTCTCGGTCACTTAATCCCATCAAACAATCAACACAACGTATTCTATCCTATTCTCATCTCCTCCAGCCTCCTTCTCGCAATCAACATTCCCAGACCGCGATGCCTTGCATTTACGTAAAGACACAACGGCTATCTCTGTGAGGAACACGACGGACATCGATGGCGCTTACTTACTTACTTGCTTACTTACTCACTCACGGCAGGATCCACATGTATCGCACATACAGGACAGGACAGGACAGCGCCACGCTGAATCCATCTATCCCTCCCTCTCTCCCAAGACCAAGACCAACACCAACACCAACACCAAAGACAGACTTCGTAATTTAAAGATAGATAGATACTGAGTTACCCAACAGGTTCATCATGATCGTCTAGCCATGGATTTAACACTACCCGAAAAAAAAAAAAAAAAAAAGTGGTGCAGAGAAAGAGGGATCACTCTCTTCTTCACGATGGATAATAGAGCGTCGGATTTAGTACCTGGAGTGAAAGTGAGTAATCTTTTTTGACTTCTTTCTACGTCTTTCTATATCATGAGTTTCATTTACCGAGGGGGTAGTCCTGCGCGGCGGCTGGCTAAGAAGCTATCGATTTGATTCTTGAGGCTCTAACTCTGCCTTTAAATTCTTATTTCTAAGAAGAAGAAGGAGAAGAAGGAGAAGAAGAAGAAGAAGGGGAAGAAGAAAATGGAAAGAAGTTGAGGAAGAAAAGAAAACACCCCTAAGACTGAACTCTCATGAGCAGGTCTTGCATCGCCATCGCCAACTCCGATCTGAGAAAGACTTCCAGCGCGCCGTAGATCCCACCATCGTGGCCGTCGCCCTTCCTCCCAGGGTGGTGGCAGCAGTACTTGTTGGCATACCTGTCCACCAAGCCCTTGACTTTGCGCAGCTCGTTGACGACGATCTGGATCCGGGTCTTCTCCGCGTAGCGAGATGGCTGCGGCGCCTGGAGGACAGCTTCGCAGTGCGCGAGATTCCTGACGCAGGTCAGGGCGATGGTGAGGGCGTAGTGGGGGGTGTCGGGGCAGGAGTGTGACAGCAGGTTGAAGGCGTTCTGGAGCTGCGCCTTGTTCTCCGCGAGTAGTTGATCGATGGGGAAATCGCTTCGCTGAGATACTGGTTGGGGGCCGACTTCGAAATACTGCGCGGGAAGCTTTGGTGTGCATATGCTTGGCGGTGGCAATGGTTCCTGTTTCGGCGGTGGAGAGGAGCTGCCTGTAAAGTGTTCGAAGGTGTTGTAGCTTTGAGCTTCACTCGCTTCCGTGGTACTGTTGTCATCGCTAAAGATGAAGGGCCTGCTATTTTGCAGCCGTGGGAGCTCTGGACTCGTTGCGAAGTCGTAAGATGGATTTGCGAGATTCAAGCTTTTGAGAGGGGTGCTGATTGTTATTGGAGTGTTGAAAGTTGACGTCGATGGCGGATATATTGTGTCTCGCCAATCGAATCCCGCAAGGTCTGTGTCGTCTATCATCGGGAACCTGGGAAAATGCTGGCCTTGACCAACACCTGGGATACGTATGTGTGGCTCTGGCGTGCACGGTGGCAGAAACAATTGTCCCTCCTTGATCTCAGATCTTTGTAAAGATGTATCTGCTGGTCGACAAGGACTTGATGTGTTGATGAGTCTTCGAGACGAGGCTGGTGGCTTTCCCATTCTCCGAGAAGGGCTGTAGTTACAGGCAAGCCCTAGATTGATGCATCGAACGCATCGTGGTTTTCCTTGATTGCATTTGACTTTAGATCCACTGCATGCATCACAGGAAGATCTAAACTTTCTCTGTTTGAGAGGCTTAGGTACCGCCTGGGGTGAGTGACGTTGATGGGTGGAAATGGCGTCCATGATAGTGACGAGTCTGCTATATCATATAGTTTCCAATCTCTGCGGAGAGGAGGCTCTACTTGGGTGAACTTGTATGAAATGACAGAATTGGCCATCAGCGCACCCTGTAAAGATATACTTATCAAGACATTGGTCGGTGAGCTAATATCAGCATCAAGATAGCAGCTGTTCTCCTTAGCATGGGTGTCGATGCCCTTGAACTCACCTGCAGGAAGATCTCTTGAAGCTTGTATTCCCCTGCACAGCCAGCACTGACTGCACGTACATTTTCTGACGGCTTAGTCGCTTGTGAAGCTTGACTTGGTCATCGTGTTCTTGTGGTGCTATTGGTTGTAGAGTTCCAGAACCGACACAAGATATGCGCGATTATATGCGCGATTCGGGGCTTCGTCAACAAGAGAGACGCCAGAACCTGATAATAAAGAACAGGTGAAGAATTCATAAACACACTAGTTACGGATATGATTCCATTGTGCAAAATTCAGCTCTACTCCCGGCGATTTCAGAGGTACGAGCTCTCCATGAGTGTGTTCTCGAGTGTTCGTTCTATCTGGTTAATGGCCTGTGTTGTGTAACGGGACCTTTCCCTTCGTGCCGGGTATGTGCATGCCTCCTTCATCGAGCTTATGGGGGCTGTTGTATCACACGAGTCTATCTCGTTGGCATGAAAGAGGTAAGTACCGGAGGAGCGAATCTCCAATGCAGTCTTCCTTTGTGCCAATGAATTATGCAGGCAGGGCTGAAAATCACCGGGTAAATAGCAGTGGGAAGTTCCTCAAGTGGCTTCAGGAGACCTACAATGACCCTGTCCATTTGGTATGTTAGGACAGAACAAGACTCGGCAGGCAGCCGCTGTACATATATTGGGAGGGACGTACCCAGATCCAGACAGGAGGTAATTACGGACGATTTTGGGGTATACCGAGCCCTCTCAAGAAAACTATAACCCACGCAAATCGATTGAGCCGAGTTTTGGTGCTCTCGGTAGGGCATGGACTCCACGAGGCGAAGTGATGATGTGCGGGTAGCCCTTGTGCGGTAGGGCAGTTCGCAGACGCATCAAGCGGATAGGCGCCGTCTCCAGATATCATCATAATATTCAAGCTATAAATAAACCATCGTTCTATACTCTGCATACAAAATTTGCGCATTCGATCCTAGTGGTATATATTCCACCGAAGATAGTGTATATGAAGGTTGTCGCGTTCAGGCTCTTCATTAATCAAGTTCGTAAGAGGAACCTCTGTTGAGCGTTTGATACAAGACTTGCAGACTAATTTTCCTATCATAGCCTGATGACAATGTGGGTACGGCAGTACGTCTCTCCTCCTGCTGCAGAGATCTACAGCTGAGGACTATATTACATTGCAGCGCTGAAGTCCAGCTGCGGGATTTCTCGGCTCCGTACCGACGAGACCATGTGGAGTGGCTCGAAGAGGCCTTGGTGGCGTGACGCCGACTCTTATTAGAAGCTCCTTGAGGCACTCGTCGGCGTTCTCGACAACAAACAAGTTGTCTTGCACTGCTTGAAACCTACACGATACCACAGGGCGCCGTTGGTTTCCTCCTCGAGGAAGCCGGTCAACCAGCTGTGGATACTAACTTGCGGCCGTATCATTGCTGACTCCTGAGAATTGCGCCGTTCAACGTGCTTGACGTGAGGTGCGCTACGCGGTATCGCATGCCGTGCAATGCAGTATGACAGAAGCCGTTGCGCGTGCAACAGTAGATCTCAAGTACAACAGGCGCCATTCTTACGATTGAGGCAGTCCAGCTGGTTCAGAAAGTTGAGGCTGAACCTCAACTTGCAGACTTCAGAGCCTGGTAGGATTGCGCGAAGCTGAACGTGGGGGTGGATGATGCCGGGAGTTTGTGCTTCGATCTCGTGTCGACCTCGTTCCCTTGCCCAAGCATTCTAATTCTTACTTACCTTACATTCCATATCCACCGAGATGGTGGATAGATATGGAACGTAGTACTGAGTCGTGGCTGCCGCTCGTGTGAGATTCTCGGCGCTCGTAGCTCTTGGTTCAGCCTTGCTAGGTACATTCGTGTACACTTGCCCTTCGTTTCCATCAATTCAAGTCTCGATGCCTGTTGACTGCTGAAGCGCCTTGACTTGAGGAGATGAGACGGAAATAAATGAATCATGGTGGTCGGTAAAGAATGGTTGACTCTAGACGACGTTCGGTCCTCGCCTTTTCAAAAGTTAAGCTTCAGAGGCCTGGTGCGCATTTTCTCTGCTATACCTTTCAAATCAGTCAACTATGCATCTGTGAAATGAGAGAAGACAGGCACTCATCAAAGAGCTATTCGAAACTCCAATTTATATCATTCAGGAGATGAGTGTATTCACCTCTTGAGCCCGGCCTACCTTCTACTGCTCACAACTTGATCGAGATTTCGAAGCAGTCCATTCACAGCTCGAGACACTGATTCCATTTTGAAGAAACCTAGAAGAGTGCCATTGCGATATCTCTTCTCTCTGATGGAATAAGCTGACTCATCTTTTCCTCTTCCTTTGTCTTAAAATGCACATATCGATCAACCAGCTCCGACCCAATCGCTTTGGTCAACGCCTCGTCTTTCTTCAAACTCTCGATAGCCTCCTTTAGACTAGTCGGCATCCGATCCACGATGTTCATCTCGGCCGCCACATCATCCGCCAACGGCTCCTTGAACATAATCTGCGTGGCGTTCTTCATCTTCAACTCTTTGCCACATTCAATACCCATCAAGCCGGCAGTGATGATAGCCATCAATGCGAGGTAAGCGTTCGCAGTTGCATCTGGGCCCCTGAGTTCCCAGTAGCCATCGTAGACTTTACGGATAGAAGCCGATTTGTTCTCGATACCCCAGGTAACACGTGCTCCCGGCCGGGTGCGAGCATTGCTATCATAATTGGGCTGATAAAACGCAGATAGCGCTCTCCAGCTTCCTAACAAGCCGGCCAAAAACGAGTCTCCCTTCTCCGTTCTTGAAATAGAAAGATGGTAATGCGAACCGGTGCTGGAGCTCTTCTCAAATGGCTTCGGATGCATCGTCGCTCTCAGTCCATGGCTTGCGACTATTGTCCTGATCGTCTCGTGACAGAAGTACAACGCATCTGCTGATTCAAGAGGCGGCAATGGTTCAGTCGAGATTTCAAATTGCCCTTGACCACTTTCACTATGAAACTGTCGGACCTTGATGCCTGCGTGCTGAAGTGCAGAGACTATCTCTTCGAGGACGGGGAGAATTTTGTTGCGAAGGCTTGCTGCCGAGTAGACGTTCTTGACGGTAGGAACGGGTCTTAAGACACCATCTGCCTCTTCGCAGACGAAGAACTCGATCTCCATACCTACGAGCATCTCGATATCATGCTTGGATTTGGCCGTTGCGACGATATCGCGGAGTCTGCTGCGAGGATCTCTGAGGAATCCGTGGCCGGCCGGCTGTTCTCCTTCTTCGATGAAACACATCACTGAGGCTGTATTCGGGTGATACGGTAAGATTCTGATACTAGACCAGTCCGGGTATGCTTGGTCGATGCCGGAATGGACGTCCTCGAAGAGCAGAGAACCGTCGAGGAGCAGTGCGCTGATGATGGGACTTGGCATGTTGATAAATCCCCCCATTTGATCCAGACTGAGAGCGAAGGCTCTCGTTGCAACACGCACTGTCAGGATACCGGAATAGTCGACCCATTGGAAGCGGATGAATTCAACTGCTGGGTTACCGTCAAGAAAGTCGTGGAGGATTTCAGATTCGATATGCATGACTTCTGGTGCTCCTCTAATATTCGAAATAGTATCGACTTCTGATGGAGATTGAATTATCAAGTGGAAAATCTGAGTTGGTTGAGCTGATCGGTATTGCGAGACCTGAGTCGGTCTGGCAGGTTGAGTATGTCGTGAAGGCAATACATGATATTAGCCGGGCATCAGTCTCACGTCAGACAAAGATATCGGCAATCTTTACCTCCGGACATAAGTAAATGCCTGCCTATCGGGGAAGGCTACTATAGCAGCGATCACTTATTTAGCACTGGGATATATGTTTTGATTTGTTGCAATACCTAAAAGAAAGAATCGTGATCTAATCAACTCGCTTATTACCCCTGAGAAAGTACAGCAAAAGGGTACCGGGTAGACGAGATCGACTAGTACTTCTTAAGCCGATCTGTTGACATGTTTGCCGAGTAGACTAGACCGGGGTGTTGAAGCTGGTGTATTATTATACGATACCCCTTTCTTCAATGAAAAGATCCATCAACACTCTATTCTAACGATGCAAGACGTATGCTATTAGAAGCTATTAAACACATTCCGAGATGGATATATTTGTGAAACGGGATGCGTCGTCGGTGGTTGCAACTGGCAAGGGAGGGATGCAAGACATGCGGGGTTGGGTTCCTTATCGCCGACCGTATTCCCGTTACTTATCGTGGTAAACGCATCATCACTACTTCGTAGGTACACCGTTAACGATATCTCCCTCTGACTTGTTCTCCCCAAACGGATCATCACTTCAATTTCCAAGTTTCTTATGCCTCGGCGAATTCCGTGAATGCTGGACCAATATTCCAGCTGTCGAGTGCCCGTAATACTACAACAATAATGTCTCACAGTCCCGTATATCAACAAGGCGAGGGAGAGATGGACGAGGATGATGCTTTTATTCAAAGTCCACTGAATCAATACCGGCAAGCTGAAGATGATGGTGGGGATGAAGGCGAAGGTGAAGATACAGAGGGAGGGAGAGAGGGAGAAGGAGAATCAGAGGGAGAAGAGGAAGAATACGGAGACGAAGACGAAGACGAAGACGAAGACGAAGGAGGTACGGCTTCTTGCCCTGCATACAGCTCTGTTTGAGGCTAAAGCAATCTTACAGGTGACGACGGCATAAGCTACGACGAGATCGAAGTCGAAATTGATGTCGATGAAGTCGAGGACGATGACGGGGAGGGACAAACGCCGGATTATGAAGCACAACATCGTGAGCTTCACACCTACACTTTTTTACAGAACCTATTGCTCATGATCCTGGGATACACAGTCATTGGACAACGCCGACTTCTGGCCATGCTACGGAGCCACCAGGTCAGAAGGATGCTTCGCCTCGGGGATATTCACCTAGAAGAAGAGGACGAAGGGGACGACAGCGATGCGGCCTGGTGGGGCGGAAGAAGGCAGAGGACACGTCCGGACCCCAATCGCTTTCCGAAGGTGCCATCTGAGAAGGGTGCTGAGCTGATGAACTCAGGGGCCTTTGGAGCGGATCCAGCGTACACGGTTACGTCGATTGATAGGAATAGAATTGGGAAGAAGAAGCTTGCACTGCGGATACTGGATAGAGAGTTGGCTATTGAGAGTCCTGCCAGACAAAGGTTAAACAAACGGCTCATGGCCCAGGTAGGAACTCCAGTAGAGTATGTAGGACTCGAGCTAATCATAATCTAGGATATGATACCTGCCTCGAATGCTGACATGGTCATCTCTTACGATCTACCAGTCTACTCGGGGCAGTTCTCGGATGACGGGAATTTCTTTTTCTCCGCCAACAAAGACTACAAAGTCCGAATGTACGATACCTCAAATCCCTACAAGTGGCGGTATTACAAGACAGTGGAGTATCCCATGGGACAATGGACTCTCACGGACGCTTCGCTGAGCCCGGACAACAAGTATCTAGCCTATACATCTATACAGAGTCAAGTCTGCCTGGCCCCGACAGATCCGAATGATATGGGAGATCCATACGTCTTGGATTTGGCGTTGACAGAGGGAGCTACTGGCAGAAACTACAGATCATTTGGCATTTGGTCTATTCGGTATTCGGGTGATGGTCGGCAATTAGTCGCTGGTACGACCGGAGGTTCTGTTGTGCTTTATGATATTGAGTCGCGCAGACAGCTGCACAGGATTTATGGGCATGATGACGATGTCAATGCGGTCTGTTTCGCTGACAAGTCTTCACCTCATATCCTCTATTCTGGTTCGGATGACACGACGCTCAAGGTATGGGACACGAGAAGTATGGGTGAAAGTCGATCTGCGGGAGCTTTTATTGGCCATACCGAGGGTCTCACCTACATTGATAGCAAAGGAGATGGCCGTAAGTATCCTGTATCCCGTGGCGTGAATCTATGACTAAAGTAGACGCAGGATACATCCTTAGCAACGGCAAAGACCAAACTATGAAGCTTTGGGACCTACGAATGGTCATGCCCTCAGAGAAATTCGAATCTATCAATCCGCACCGCCGCGTCAACAATGGAGAGCGCTTCGACTATCGTTGGGGCTCCTACGACATGAACGACTGGTACCAAGACCCAGATGACAACTCAGTCGTCACTTTCCGCGGCCACAGAGTGCTACGTACACTGATCCGTTGCCATTTCTCTCCACCCTCCAGCACGAACTCACGCTACGTGTATTCAGGAAGTGAGGACGGCAAAGTCTTCATTTACAACATGGACGCTACTCTCGCTGGTACTATTGATGTCTACAGCGCTACGCAAGGCGCCCAGCCCATATCCGCGGATGATGAGGGGGTCCACCCACAAACCGGCACGCCGTGGAGGACTTGTGTCAGAGATGCGAGTTGGCATCCTAATGCACCGATAATTGTCGCGTCCGCGTGGAACGGGTATGGAATGTCAAGCGGTACATGTACGGTACATTCCTGGAACGATGGGGCAGAGGACGACGAGGCAGAACCGAAGATGGGACACCGCGTCAATCAAAGGCTGGTGGCAGACCCGATCTACCACGACAGGCTGGGTTTACGAAACAGGCCATTCTGGCAAGATTGAGACGTCTGGGGGTGAGGAGGAGAGGAGATGACGCTGACGACAACAGGGACGACGACCGCCACCACGCCCGCCACGACGATGACGACGGGTGGAATAGTGATGAGACTGAGGCCCAGTTTTGAAGTCATTTGAGATGGAGTCTGGTGGGAGGTTTTGGGGCATCTGGCGCTAAGCTCGGTTTTACATGGAGGGTGCCAAGGACTGAGGTTTATATGGGTATCTGATCGAAATCAAAAACTTCACTGCACACCCGGCTACTGGCAACTTAAGATGAACTAGATATGAGGCTTTCCTCTGCGTATGAAATGTTGTCCTCCGTATGGCGAGATCTCAGGAAACTAAAAATGGCGGGGTGCTTTGCGATGCGGGGAGTAGCGAAAGGGGAAGCGAGCGATTGCAACTACTTTGTTTACACTGGGATACGAGGAGTTCCAGATGAAGACCTCAACTGAAACGCTGGAATTCCGCATGCCTTCGTATCAATTATCTCGGAAACATCGAGAAAAAGTATAAGGCCAGGCACGATTAAAAGTTGGCAAGAGGCGGCATTGTAGTCCCGACTAGCCCCTGAATGAGTCTTGGATCCTCCTCCCTCTTTACATAGAGCCATATATAAACACACAAGAGCCGAGCCTGACGTACATTACTCCATCATCCATAGGAAAGTAGAATGGCTTTGTGGTCCCTGGAGTTTCTAAAGACAAAGTGATGTGTGTAAGGATAACGGCCGGCGCTCGGCCTTGGGTTCGGAATTTGTCGCCTTCTTATCGGTTATCGGAGTGAAACAAACAGCAAGTTCCATTAAGTAAGGCCGTCCGTATGCAGGGGTATCGTTCAAGCTCCAACCTGGGAGGTGTCAAAGATCACAAAGCGAGACAGGATAAGCTTAAAGCCGCATGGATGGTGCGAGCTGATGCCTATGTCCGGAGTAGTATCGGCTCTGCTATGCCGAGGTTCAACTGCACACTTGCCATGTACTCAAGGAGTAGCAAATCTTTGGTATGAAGGAAGGGAGGGAGGGAGGAAAGGAAGGAAAGGATCTCTCGCGATCCTTCAACTATACCGAAGGGAGCGAAGGGAGGCAGAAGACTCCTATGAATAGCTGAGTTTAGAACACTGAAACAACAAAACAAAAGGCTTCCCAGAGCACTTCAGCCGTCTTCAGCAGTGCCATTAGAAAGAGATGCTCATAAAACCCTCAGCTCTAGCAGCCCTCTTCAAAGTCCTCTGGCCATCGTTGCCTTTAAGTCTCTCTTGGTTCGGTTTCCTTTCATTCTTTCATTGCTCCCATACGCCGTGTGACCTCCCTCCCTTTCCCTTGACGCCGTGGGCGCTGCTGGCATTTGTGAATGACTGGCAGCCAGTAAACCCGTGTGCGTCCCTTGGAGCCATCCCTTTGCGCCTTTGCCTTGCATTGCAGACCTCACAGAACCTTAGAACCTCACCGGCGACTGTATTACAGATCGCAAGAACGGTCCGACGTCGTATCAAGGCCTTCCCCAAGTCGCAGGCCAGTCCCGACGGCCAGTCCTCGCGCGGCAGAAGCGCTGCATCCGGAGAGGATCCGGCGTACACATCCCAAGTGTCCTCGGTGTTGATACCTTTGGGGGAGACGGGTACAGGCGTTGTTGTTACAGATCTGCGTCAAGTGCATCGAGTTTGAAGAGTTTGAAGTGCTGCCGCCGACGAGCTCGGGCTCTTCTCACGCACCGCACGATTCCTCGCCTCACTTCACTGGCCTGCCTCACCAGTCGCCTTTACCCTCACCAAAGCGAGCGAGCTCCCCTCTCCCCTACTTCTCGATCCTCACAATCTAATACAACACACCGCAACTCAACTCGAATATTTAATACCGGAACAAGACAAACTCTTCTCGATCCTTCAAACTGCGACTGAAGAAACTGAACGCCGTCGTCAGATCGCGTCGACCGCTTTCAATAGCCCGCGAACCTCGTCGCAGCTCCTCGGTCAACCTCCACCTGGGTCAACCACAAGCACTTCCAAGGTACGTTCAGTACCGCCTCGCCGCAGATCATCTCACTGTTGGATCATATCCACCGAGCTCTGGGCAAGGAGGAGCAGCTTCTATTGTATCAAGACAACCTGACCTTTGATGCAGTCGTGGACTCGCCCACAACCTCCATTCTCGATAATCCAGTCTCAACTTCAGTGAACTCCCTCGACATCCCCACATCAGAACTCTCCGATACCCAGAATGGCGGCCCCAGGAACACAATCGCTGAAGGTCAGACTGCCCGCGCCGCCGCCTGTCTGATATACACACACGGGGCATCTTGAGGCTGACTTGATATCTGCGCAGTGTGTTGTCACCGGTGATGGTGCTGTTGGAAAGGTACGTCGCATACACAGGGTGCTTGAAAGATAGAGTACTTGAGACGCAGACTCGCAGATACTGACGCGCTCCAAAGACATGTCTCTTGATCTCGTACACCACCAATGCCTTCCCGGGCGAGTACATCCCGACCGTGTGAGTAGAGCACCGTCGGACCCTCGAGACGCGCTTGCGCTGACCAGAGCAGCTTCGATAACTACTCCGCGAGTGTCATGGTCGACGGCAAGCCGATCAGCTTGGGCCTGTGGGATACCGCTGGACAAGAAGATTACGATCGACTTCGACCACTCTCCTACCCCCAAACGGACGTCTTCCTCATCTGCTTCTCCATCGTCTCCCCTCCATCCTTCGATAACGTCCGAGCAAAGGTTTGCAGATCACTTGAACCTGACTGAAAATTGCGCGAGCTGACGGGAAATGCAGTGGTTCCCTGAGATCGACCATCACGCCCCCTCGGTCCCCATCATCCTCGTCGGTACCAAGCTGGATTTGCGAGAGGATCCGGCTACCCTCGAGAGCCTGAGACAGAAGAGAATGGACCCGGTTTCGTACGATCAGGCCTTGATTACCGCAAAGGAGATCCGCGCCCACAAGTACTTGGAGTGCTCTGCCCTGACACAAAGAAATCTCAAGAGCGTCTTTGACGAAGCCATCCGGTAGGTCTGTTCCATGCGACCACTCATGCGGCCTAGCTGCATACGGCGAGCCGCAAGGCCCATTCCGAAAGAGATGTCCTTCCTGATCAAGAAGAGTCGAAAGCAGAGCTAACGTGAGTCCAGAGCTGTCTTGAGCCCTCGTCCTCAACCCATGAAGAAGAAGTCTCCCAAGTGCTCTATTCTATAAGGGATGCAGCCTCTTTCTGATTTCGACAGAGGGTGGATTTGTAGAGCGGCATAGCAACGGGCACTTTTGACTTGAGCTAAGACTATAATCGCCATTTCGAATTCCCTTCACTATCTAGAGATGGGAGCACAAGCTTGCTTTTTTTTCTTTCAGCCTAGGGAACTGTACTTAAGGGGATCTTTTCTTCGTTCTGGGAGTCTTGGTTCCTTTTCTGCTGTGCGTTCCTGGTTGATGATTTTTCTTGCATTGCACAACCTCCTTCGATTCTCCGGCGGCTCTTGATTTTTTTTTCGATGCCCTTCTCGGCTTTCTCTGTACACAGCTTGCGAGATATGGAAAGCACAGGGGGTTTTTTAACGTCTCGGTTGGGCTTCGTCTTGCATTTGAGTGGGTGGATGAAGCGGTTTGCGGGATTGAGATTTGAGGGGGGGGGGGGGGGGGGCGACCTGAGAGCTTGTAGGTGGGGAGGGGGGGGGGAAGAAATGGAATGGGATACGATGGATGGATGGGGATGAATGCGTTCTTTGCGATACCTAAACTCTACTAGTGCTACAAAGGCTTGCTGCTACTTGCTCCTTGTAGATAATGCATATTTGAACTACTACTACTGCTGCTGCTGCTGCTGCTGCTGCTATTACTGCTACCTTTGTTTGGGCGAAGAGGGGGGATGAATGAACGAATGGGCGGGAATGGAAGGGAATGGATGGATGCTCAGTGAGTGAGGGAGTGAGTGGCATACATACATTGGCAGAGGGGACGGACAGAGAGAATGAAAGAAATAGTTGCACTTACTTACTTTTGATTATTGAGACGGATCAATGGATAAGTGATGGCTGAAGTGGGTGAGCTCTGCCGCGGCATATTTATCTGACTGACAGACAGATTTATATCAATTTGCTCTCTTTTTTTTCTCCTTCTCTTTCAACCTTCTCTTTTCTCCTTCTCTTTTCTCCTTCTCTTTTCTCCTTCTCTTTTCTCCCTTCTCCCTTTCCTTGCTTGCTTCTTTTTGAAACCTCTTCTTTATACCTAACTCTTTCTTCTTCTCCGGGGTAAGATTGAAGAAAGTTGGCTTGGGGGAGGAAAAAAGAAAAGAATGGGTCCGTAAAGCTCTTAGAGAAGGGGGAAGGGATCGAAGGCGGCTTGATTGGGGTTTTAAACCCTTCTTTTTTTTTTTCTCTCCCCTTTTCTTCTTATTGGCCATGTGCCAGACATCATCCTATTAAGTTATGAAGCTCTGTTCTCGAGACTATACACCTAATCAGCTTGGAGGGAAGAGCTTGCTTTCTCAAGCCTCCTTCTAGAACTGCACGCTCCGAGAGTTGCCGAAACCATCTACAGTAGAAGACTCCCCTCTTCCCCCCCCCATCTCAAATCCAAATGAAGTCCAGTCATGATTGAACCACGGCGCAAGAAGTCCCGACATCGAGAATGCTCATCCGATGGGCCTTGGAAGACCCGATCGCATCCGAGCCAGAGGCCTGGGTAGCCACGTGCCGCCTTCCTTGCCTTCAGAGAATAGCAGCAGCGTATTGACCTATCCCGACGACAAACATGTTTGCGCCTTCTCTGCACTTGAGCATCAGAAATAGGTGCAGCGTCCGCGGATAACGCCCCAAGGAGCGCGTTCCGCTTTCAGCATGCGTAAACTGGTGAGAGGGGAATGGGCAGCGACAAGAACAAGAGAAGCGACAGCGGTAGCTGGGTAGCCGGTGGTAGCTTTGCGAGCCTACGACAGCGAAGAAGGAGCACTGCATCAGATACGCAGGATTCTCGAGCGTGTGCATAGCTTGCTATTGGCAGGCACTGGATAAGGTGCAGGCTCTCTCGTCTCTCGTCGGTAACCATGTTTGGGAAGATGAGATTGAGTTTCCGTAGCAGATTTTTCGGCTCTCTTACTTCTGGGTGGATCTCTGGAGCTTTCGTACGGATACAAATAGGCTTTACTTGCTGGGGTTGTGCCTGGGAGACATGGCTAGTAGGTGGCAAGAGTGAAGTGAAGTGAAGTGAAGTGAATTGAAGTGAATTGAGCAAACAGTAGATCCTTTGCGACGCTTCCCAAGCTAGTATATCCTAAATCCCCTAATCTAATTCCCGATATCAGCTACCTGGTCCAGGAAAAGAATGCCAAGCCAAATCAAGAAGGGAATATTCTAAACTATTGCCATGGAAAGGATTGGAGGGCCGTTTCTGTGCAATTCGATAGCCGTGCTTCGGCTGTACCAAACGCCCAGATGACAGAAACTGCAAGTTCGTAAACCGCACAACCATCAGCCAAAGCAAATCAGCAAGCGCTCTGCAATAGATAGTTCTGATAGAGGTGCCCATCTGACTTCTCCCTTGGAAATCGACCGAGCTCCGGTACGAGGTCCGGTGATAGCTGGGACGCCGACCTCTATTCCATGATATATATTGAAGCACAGATTAGAATCGCATTACCCGCGGAAAGGATAAGAAAAGTAATGCTGTTCAAGTGGTCTTTGGATAACATTCGCGCTATTTGAGTTTCCTGTTCGGCTGCCGCACGCATGCATGCATGCACTGGGTACTTTTGATCTTGCGTTGGAGATACGATAGGGAGATTTATGTAGCGCTAGTTAAAGATGCCAAGGGTGGAAAGATTTACGAATGATTATTGCAATCGTACGGCGTTAGGGACTGTAAATAGTGGCTTGTACGGCGCTTAGCTTTCGAGTAAATGGTTATGGGGGATAGGTAGGTAGGTAAAGTGTATTTTCATTTCCCTTGCGATTGGTCGTGAGTTCCGTACAAATGCGACTCCATTTTTCAAGAGAGCTTAGCATCTGGTGCTTTATGATTACCTTTTCTCTTCTTTTTCTTTCGATTCGATACCCTCTTTTGTCTTCTGTATGCTACTTTCATTTCTATAGTATGTAAGGTCATCGATTCATTACGCTGGATCACGATTCTCGATCACGCTGACTTTAACCATTCCGACGTTGCGGCCTCGAAGCGTGCATAAAATAGCCGCTTTCAATGTTGAAAGGAAAAAAAAAAAATTCGCGGTACTCGCCAGCTTGCTTCTGAAGACAGGGTTGCAAGAAAAGTAACTGCGAAAACTCTTACGTTCGGAAAAGGCGCCCCATGGATGTAGCTCTCGTCGGGGTTATGGTCGAAGAGAGTTGATATTACAGAGGCGGCAGCACCCGAGCTAAATATAGTATCGTGATACTTTCGAAACATTTGGGATGTTGTGGCTATGTGACCTGACGATAAGGCGTTCGGGGAGCTCTTCAAATCGATAGCAACGTGTTTGATGAGAGTAAAAGCTTGGAAGTATATGCTATGGAGATCATCCAGGGTGGCTTTTCTGCGTTGTTCTACTGACTGATAGCTGGTATGTAAGAGGTGTCGAGGCAATGGATGTATCAGAGAGAGCGACAGAGGCTAAGAAAAAAGAACCGTGGGCAGGAGACAGCACTAGCTTGGTTCTATGGAATACCATCACCCTACTCTGGTCATTGCCGTGGTACTGTTGGATAGGATGGGTCCGCTTTTATAGGAGTTATCAGTAAGTAGTTGTCAACCTGACGGTATCGGACGAGGGTGTAACATGGGTGAATATGGATGGGTACGCTCCTAGGTAATGGCAGGCAGCAAATGCCTGCGATTTCTCCTGGACCAAATTCCGCCACAGACTTGATTCACTCGTAGTTCTATATTCACAACCCACATTTCTTACAGAAGAGATGAGCGTGGCCACGAGTAGAGCCTGCATGCTAGCCTGAAGCAAGCCTATGTCAGACTTCTGCCGATGTCATGACCTGTTCGATCATGCTCATCATCGACTATAAGGGCGGAAGTGGGGTGAATAAAGCCTTTGCAATCAGTCGATACATTTTCTAGCATAGATCGAATATTTGCGCTCAGAATCGGAACGTGATTATCGGAGTGTCTCTGTGGCAGCTTAGCGAGGTGAGGAAAGTATAGCAGTCGCAACTTTCGAATTAGATATCGACAGCAGTGTATTGAATGATAACAAGAGTATCGCGATGAACTATCTTGATCCATATTACTATGGCTAAGCAGTGTGTACATATCATATCGGTTTATTTGTAAGAGACTTCAAGTTCATCTGGTGTAGCGAGGTGAACACAACAGGAGCATACGGTGATAGGTTGTGTAGTCGACAGCGCAGCGGAAAGTCAGAGGAAAGCTTGTGCTTATATATTGCTACGAACTCTGTCTATGGTCAGCCCTTACGTCAGTCAGCGAGGACCTTTCTCAACCACTAGAGGTCAGAACAGATCGTGATTCATCCTGAAAATGAATAAGAAACGGACCCCGAATAACATCGCCGTGACGTAGACCCGCTGAAACCATTCCTACCTCCAAACTGCTTACTCAACTATTAGAGATAAAAAGGGATAGACTTCTCCGGAACACTCGCTGCCTCCTGACATGTGCGAACCTTGAGATGAGAAGATGAAAGAGATTAAAGCGACTACTGGGCACCAGGAGCACTAAATGAAACGAGGGCAACGCAGAAATCAGTATTCTGAAAGAAGACCGAGAGAGCCAGATTAACATCGAAGTACGTCTCTAGACTTCCGGAAATAGTATATCGAGATCTGAGAACTGTACGGGAAATAGTAAATAAAGGGAACGGTGACAGCATACAAATACGTGACAGCAAAGATTTGCATCAAAAGTAAAACCACGCACTCCCTATAGACCAACCATCTAAAGCGCAAGTGCTAACCAAAGCTCAGCAGCAATAATTGAGTCGTAGGATAATGCTACCATCAATAAATTTACATCTATCGTTAACTAGCAAAAGGTTCAATGGCTGATTCTGCTTTCATTGCATCTATAAGATAGAAAGATGACGACCATCAGCAAAGAACTCTATCTATCATTCCTCCTTGTCACTATATCACAATATCATCATAATATGGGGGACTCAGGGTAGAGAAGCGGCCCTCTATATTGCTCATGGGGACGCTTTAGGCTTAGCTCTTCCTCACGTATTCTCTGAGAATTGGCCAGCTGCTTGCATGTAACCAAAATACGGAGTGGTTTATTCGCTCGAATAAGCAAGGGAAAATAGTAGAATAGCACCGGTTCCAGAATCAATAACCCTTTCAAGGTTTAAGTTGTCAGCACTTCAAAGAATAATCAGAATCTTAAGACTCGAAGAGCCCACCCAACAAAGCTCGCTTAGCAGACAGACAGAGCACAGCGCCAGCAGCAGCACAAAGTCCCCATCGCCGGATCCGTCAAACGCTTTATCCGGCACCGCACACACTCTCCTTATTAATCTTTGTCCATCACTCCCGCTCTTGGAAAGGAAGAAGAGAGGGAGCACAGACAAGGGAAGAAAGTAACAAGGGCGATGATTCTTGAGTCTTGCCGCCCCTCGACCTTCTCTCCTACTACCGGCCTTCCATCTTCGCCCCGTCTCCCCTCTGCCAGAATTGCTCGCTTCCATACGCAGGCCAAGCACAAATTCCACCACAGCGCTCCCCAGAATCGCAGGCAAAAGTACTATTCGAATCAGTTTTGGATAAATCCCCTTGGATAACCTGCTGCACCATGGGCGACTACTCCCCAAACCGGAAGCGGTCCACGCCTGCAGCCGCAGCGTCAACTGAGTCCCTAAAGCAAGATATCCAGCCCGACCCAATCCCAGTCATCTCCCCGGTCCCAGGCCCTGTCTTCAACACATCTCCACTATCATTTCCAGTAGTTTCAGATCCAGTATCCGAGCCTCCCAGCTCATTGAATGCTATCGATGACGTTGAGGCAGAGAAAGGGGACGGAGACTTGGAAGTCGATCGACCCGGATCTTCAAGCAACGGCAGAAGACCAGCTGTCGAAGAGGACGAAGACAGCAGAAGCGAAGACCGGAGTGACCTGGGAGTCGAAAACCCAGAAAAAGGAGCACCCCGCTTGACAGCTGCCGAAAAAGGGAAGGGGAAAGTGGTTGAGCTGCCTGAAGAAGTGAATGATTTGATTAATGATTTGCCTTTGGAACCTGTGGACGAGAGTAGTTTCATCGAGATGCCTTTAAAAGACACGGCGGATGAGGGAAGGAATAAGGACCAAGCAGAGGGAGAGAGTACTCTGAACTCTGGGCTAGGTGATGAGGTTGTTGCGGTTGAGGAAGAAGACAAGACCCACAAGGATACACCTGCTGCTCCCGGTACAGCGTCTATAGTCATCGCCACAGAGCCCGGAGAGGAAGAGGACGAAGATGAAGACAAAGAGGAAGAGAAAGACGAAGAGGGAGAAGTCGGCCAGCGACCAAGCAAAGGCATCGAGCGTCCTGTTAGCCGCCGCGGCACACCCAAAACCTTCACTATCGTCCGCCTCATCGAACATACTAACAAGAACGGCGACGCGGCCGTCAGACCAGCCATCAGAGTCGGGGATCGCGCGCCGTGGTTTAGAGTCGACTACGGCGACTTCCTACTCGACCTCTCCACCCCACGATCAGAAAATGCCCAGGTAAGAAACTACCAGGGACAGGAAAGATATATCCCGCGGCGCATGCTGCAGCCCATCTACCAACCGTGGGACATCCCGACCAGAATCAGGATACGGGATGATGGTGTTCCGCTCCCGCTGGCATTTCTGCTGGACGGGAAAGTGGCAGTGGGGAGTAAGGGGAACGTGAGCTTCGAGACGGGAGAAGCGGTGATGGTTATGGGCAAGCTGGATGGGACGGTGAAACAGGAGGTTTTGGTCACGGATTATGAGCGGCATGCTGGGAGCTTTGAGATCTCGGACCTGGATCAGAGTTCGGTAGGCGCGCCATGGGGGTTGTTGGTTCATGCGGAAGATTTGAAGGCGGCATGGACAAAGGCTAGTGCTCCAAAACTACAGAAAGTGCCGAAGAAGAGGGAGAGGAGTGAGGAAGATGACGAGCAGGAGGAGGAGGAGGAGGAAGAAGATGATGGGGGCCAGGGGCCGATTGAGAAGCCTGATACCGGGAAGGGGAAGAAGGGGCAGAAGGCAAACAAGAACGATGCAGCTGATAGAGAGGGAACGAGCAATAAACCTCTCACTAAGAAGGCACGGAGGACTAAGAAGGTGAAGGTGTTTGAGGAAACTGAAGATATTGAGGATCCTGGAGCGGGACCGAGTGGAGTAGAAGTTCCTGAGACAGAGGAAGGTAGCAAGCAAACGGCTTTGGGCAGAGCGGCGAGGAAGAAGAAAAGAGACGCCAAGAAGAAGATTACTGCGAAGAAGAACACCGGGAGGAAGGATGATGGTGAGCCTGACTTGAAGACGATGCTGGCGCAGCTGTAATATGGAGAGACAGGGATTTTCAAAGTCATATCTGGTGATCAGGAAAAACGAACAATTGAAAGGACAAACATGCGTATATAAAGATTGAGTATGGAAATGCCGGCAATATTATGGTTGGATTTCTTGAATCCTTGAGCCTAAGGATTGCCAAAAAAGAAGAGGGGGGAAAGACATTACGCACCGGAATAGCAGAGCATATTCTGGCCTCTAAGGCCAAACAAAAACTGTACCACTTGTGATCTTGAAATCTCCAGCTTCCTCCCTTCTCAGTATATAACTGCTCCGGTTCAGAAGGAGTGTCGTCAAAACGAAAGCTCATGGCCAAGCGAGCGAGCCGACCACAAGGCTGAACGCCCCGCCAAAATTCTCGCAACCATCGCACCCCTCTTCCCAACAACACAGCTCTCAAGATGGAGGACGACGATCTAGCACAGGCACGTCTCTCACCTCTCCCATCTAATAAATATCCGTAACTAACTTCTCTCCCCAGATCAGAGCAGCGCGCCTCGAGCAACTGAAAGCCCAAGGCGGCGGAGGCAGAGGCGGAGGGTCCAGCAGCGGGGGCGGATCGCAAGAGCAGAAACAGTGCGCACCCCAGTCCGGTCCAGTCCAGTCTAATCCATCCGAGGACGCTCGGAGCCCTCATGCTAACATATGTACTTACGACTTTAGACAGCAGGAATCCGAAGCGCGGGCCTCCATCCTCCAGCAGATCCTCGAGCCCGAAGCCGCGGACCGCTTGGGACGCATCCGCCTCGTGAAAGAGTCGCGCGCGAGAGATGTGGAGGATAGGCTGATCATGCTGGCGCGGAGCGGGCAGTTGCGGAGTAAGGTTACGGAGACACAGTTGAGGGAGCTGTTGGAGGCCGTGGCCGAGAAGGGGAAGGAGGAGAAGATTGTGGTGTCTAGGCGGAAGGGAGGATGGGATGACGAGGACGACGATGATTTGTTTAAGGACTTGTGAGATGGGGGAGGGGAGGAAAAGATACTCAAGGAACGATCACAAGTATGGATGCATTACCATGCCAAACGGGAGTCGTAATACGGTATGGGACAGGGGGACGGATATCATGGAGTTTGCTGGTCTTCAGGATGGTGACATTCCTCTCGCGTTGCAGAGACCAGAATGAAGTTCATTATCCCAACATCCAAGCTCCATAACTGTTTAATCAGTTCAACCCAAGCCCATCTGCAGCCCTCTCTCTAGCCTCCCTCTCGGCCTTCTTCTTCGCCCTCTCGGCCTTCCTGATCTCCCTCAAATCAACTGGCTTCTCAATCCCCAACTCCCTTCTGACCTCCCCTACGTCCCTCTCCAGCTCCTCCTCCCAGTAAACCGTCAGCATCTCTCGCCCCTGAATCCCATTCCTCACTGCCCATGGCAGATAAATGTCCCAGAACCTCTCCCTCTCCTCCTTCTTCAACCTCACGTACGCAAACAAACTGAGCCCCGTCATGGGCAGCAACGTATTCGCAAACTCGAACGCCTTGACCGCAATCTCGCCCTCGATGATAATCGGGAGCCCGGTGATGGCGTGGTAGAAGTCGTGACACTCGCGGTACCGCTGCATCACGTACGCGCACTCCTCGTCGTCGATGTACTGGACCGCGCTGCGCGTGTCGGGCGTGACGCCTTCTCGGTCGAGCCAGTCGGCGTAGGCCTTTCCCACGCTGTTCTCGGGCAGCGCGCGCAGATATTCCAGCGGCATCGTCTTGCTTGTGATCCTGGGTCGCTCCTTGAGGATTCGACGGCCGGTAGGATCCGCGAGCATGGCGTCGCGGAGGCGGTAGATGAAGTAGGGTGTTGCGGTTGCTTCGCCCAGGGCTGCGATCAGGTCTGCTTCGTGTTAGTTGTTGCGATGGGTAGATTGCGCGCAGTGCTCAGACTTACCTCCACGATACGGGTCTCGCAGGGAGCCAAAGGCTGAGCCTACTGCGAGACCTAGCTTCTCGATGCGAGTGAGAGGAATATGGCCAGGGTAATTCGGGGGTGGGCGATGGAGCACGCTGAAGTGGCGCGTATTAAGTGAGAGCGTACATGATGCTACCAGCTCCCGGGGAAGACCAGCTCTCAGTGCATTCTGCCGTAGAAACAGAGCCATTGTTGTATGGGAGTTGCGTGGAGGGAGTGGTGTTGACGACCGAAGTATTTCGGATGTTGATGTTCCTGTCCGCTTCGCTTTGGATTCGAGCCGAAGTCCATGGGCCGGGCCGGGCCGGGTCGCATGCAGCAACGATCCACGACGAAATTCCTCGACCTCGCCTTTTGAATTTCCGGTAAACTGTACATTGGACAGCCCATGATCATCCCTTCAACACCAGATGGAGATCCACGAAGAATTTACGGAATGGGCTGTTGCGCAAGGTATCAAGATCAACGGGATCGCGGCGCACAAGTTCGAGGGACGAGGGCTTGGCATCATTGCTACCCAGAAGCATGAAGTATGAATATCCTCACCTCATTACCTTGTTCCTTCTTTTCTGGATTGCACTTTGTTTGCTATTACCTCGTCTGCTTTTTGCACGGCTATTTGCTTTGTGGGTGCATCGTCTTGGTCTCGTCTTCTCCACTTTTCTTTCCCCCCATTTCATGGCACGCGAAAAGTTTCTCCTTGTTTATTTACAAACTTTCGGTTATCTTGGCTATTCTGTTTACTCTGATCATCCGAGTATATATCTTACTGAACATGATGATCTCTATGAGTCCTAGCCTTGTTTGTGATCATGGAAATTTACAGCAGTCAAGGAGAGGACATGGGTTCTCTCAACTCATTCCTGGACGTCGTTATCCTAAACTCCAGGAATTTGAGCTTACTCTTATATCCAAGCTGGGTCCAGTTTCGCGTATTTTCAGCCGCTTTGGAGGCCAAGGAAGTTCTTGTCCATTGTCTACATCATCTCGATTAGATAAATCTTCAATCATCATCGACACTTCTCATATCATTTCCTCTTCAAACACTCCACTCAAGCACCTTCAACCAGCTAACGCTCTGCTTCTCACAGGCAAACACGACCCTCCTCACTGTCCCCCACTCCGCCCTGATAGACATATCTAGCGTTCCAAAAGCCATAACTGACGCCCTTCCTCCGACCAAAAATACAGTCCACAACATCCTCGCTGCATTCCTCGCCCTCGATACCTCCCCATCACGAGCACCATGGCGCGCTGTCCTCCCAGATTAGTACGTCCGTCCAAAACCCCTTTCATTTCACGACCCCCACCATTCTAAGACACGAGATGGAGTCCCGAATTCGCTTAGGGAAAATTTCGTCAACAAAAAGTCTACTTACCACCTGTACTGACCAAGCGACGCAACAGCGCCTCCTTCAAATCCAGCATGCCCCTCTGCTGGCCCTCCACCCTCCAAGCCCTCCTCCCACCACAAGCGGCCTCCCTCCTCGCCCAGCAGAAGAAGAAGCTCGCGAGGGACTGGGCCGCCGCCACCGCCGCATTCCCGGACCTTAGCTACGACCGCTACCTCCACGCCTGGCTGCTGGTCAACACGCGAACCTTCTACTACGTGTCGCCCACCGCCAGCGCGAGAGCGGCGCCGAAGAACAGGGACGACTGCATGGCACTCAACCCTTTCGCGGACTACTTCAACCACACGTCTTCGAGGAACGCTTGGTGAGCCTCTCTCCCCTTTCTCCTTCTCCTCCTCAGCCAAAAAACTCCGAATCCCCAGCAGCCACCCATCCCATCCCATCCCATCCCATCCCATCCTAATCGATAGATACAAAAACCAAACCAAACTAACATCCCACCCTCCCCTCCCCCCCAAAAGCGACGTCTCCTTCTCCCCAACCGGCTACACAGTAACCACCTCCACCTCCACCCCTCCCCTCACTCGCGGCGCCGAGATCTACATCTCCTACGGAACCCACAGCAACGACTTCCTCCTCGCCGAGTACGGCTTCATCATCCCCTCCTCCTCCTCCTCCTCCTCCTCCTCCTCCTCTTCCTCCCCCACCATCGCCACCACCATTGTCCCCTCCTCCGACACAAACACAGACCGACAACACCAACACCAACACCAACACCACCACGACGAGGACGACTATACCCTCCTCGACCCCGCCCTCCTCCCACGCCTGACCCCGTCCCAGCGCCGCGACCTGCAGGAGGAGGGCTTCCTCGGAAACTACACCCTCGATCGGGCGCAGGGCGTCTGCCACCGCACCCAGGTCGCGCTCCGCATCCGCTGCCTGCCACTCGGCCGGTGGCGCCGCTTCGTGAGCGGCGTGGACGACGGCGAGCTCGACCAGCCCGAGGTCGACGCGCTCTTGCGCAAGGTCCTGGAGGCGTATCGGAGAGACGTAGCGGACAAGATTAGGCAGGTTGAAGGGTTGGAGGAGGGGACGGCCGGGATGAGGGACGTGTTGGCCAGACGGTGGAGGCAGATTGATGGCTTACTGCAAAGTGCGATCGAGAGGATAGAGTAGAGAATTGATTCATGAGCAACGGAATGTTTGACCGTTCTATTCTATTCTATCCTATGAACGAATGAGTGCAAAGGGTTGGTCTAAGACAGTGAGGCTTGGTGACCAGTCTAAAGATACTATAATCCTGGAAAAAATTAAACATGAGTGATTCCATGCCCACGAGCCCCAAGTCAATCCTGGCCTGATAGGCAATCTAGAGATTATATGACCTACCACAGGAAAAGAAAAGCAAGGGAGGTAGCGCTCGGCACAAAAGACGCCGCAAAAACGTGCAAAACGGCCCGGTAATTCATGTCAGAGACGCCCAGTCAGAACCACAAGCTCAAGCTCCTATTGCCGCCGGGCCCCAGCGAGCCGGTCAGATTCATTCTCTGACTCGGCAACATTGCTCTATCATCGTGGAAACTGCCTTCTCTAGCGCGCGGGGTCTCTCTTTCCTCGCAAAGCCCCCGAGCCAGCTGGTTTGCCATGCTTCGTGGTAGAGTCTTCGATACAAAATCTGGAACCCGGTTGTTCTTATTGGTGATATCAAGCAGCTCAGGTGGGAAGCCATCGTACGGCTTGGTCTTTTCCCTGCCTTCAGATGTGCCACTGAGACTGTTGTTGAAGAATGAAACCTCGTGTCTCTCGCCAGCTGGGACTGGGTACGCGTCGTAAACACGGAATAGATGGGCATCATCATCTGATGACCAAGACATCAAAGATGTTGTCTCCCCACTCTTGATGCGAGTCCCACTGTTGGGCTCAATCATAGAGTCCAGAGTGTCTCCAAAACTCTCCATGTCAAGTCCAGAGAAATTTCGGCTGTATTCAAGCATTAAGTTGGCCCTAGGAATTGGTCCAGGGGGTGCGAACGGGGCTAGTAGATGGCGAGTTAGTGAGGATCCAACGGAATGAAGATACCCAGAAACTTACACTGGGAAACTGGAATTGACAGTTTTGATATTTCCTTCATCTCCTGCTCCTCTGGCAAAGCTGACAGGACCGGCATCGTCAGCTCCATTGATACGCCCTTGGCCTGCTCCTCCTGATTTGGAGTCTCCTTCTCCCTATCAAAGCTTGATGAACCACCTCGGGAGAATTGACCAACACGACGAAGTGGTCGAATCCTCGACGCGGGGCTGACATCTCTGAGAGAATGCTTCAAGGTGCTACTGCCACCTGGGATCCGGCTCTCACTTCTGCCCTTTGGTGAGCTAGCCACATTGGTACGAGAATAAGGATTTCCGGCGCAGTCTGAGGATGAGGTGTTTGCCATCTCGAGGATCTCTTCAGCTGTCATGAGGATGTTGCAATCCATAGAGGCATGGGGCTCATCCACTCCATGGAAGCCCCCATCACTATTGTTGGTGTAGGAGCTTCCGGTCGATTTACGTCGTTTTGGAATTCTGATACTATTTTGGCCGGCGGGGCGGCCATCGTCGGCTCCATCCAAACCACCGCGCGCTCTGGCTCTGTCAGACACCTTTCTTTGCCTTAGAGTTCCTAGATTAACAGACTGGTCAAATGATACGTGGGCTTGTTTCGGTGCCCGAGGAAGACCTGGACTTATCGGACCGGCCTTGGGACGAGGATCTCCAGCTTTCCTACTTTTAGTGGGCGGGAATGAAGTATCGCGGACGAAGAAGTCACTCTCGTCTCGGCTAGTCTTCTGAAGAATTGTGTCAATAATGTCTTCAAATGTGACAATGCCAATAGGTCTTGGGCATCGAATTCCGATAACATTTTGTCTCGGTTTCGCTGGGTCAGCAGCAGCAGCTTGTGCAGCTTTGAGGTAATCCATGGTCCAGTAATCTTTTCCTTTACCCCCTTTCACATTGGACATGAGATGGGTGTTGGTTTTTGCGGTAGCTGTCCATAAGATCTTGTCGTGGGTTCTTCTAGCGTCTACGGCTGTATCGGAAACACCCTCATTGAGCGATTCGTGGACAACTACTGCCATTCTAGGAATGTTTTGTCAGAATTTATGATTGAAAATTTAAAAATTCCTTTCTTACCTTGACATTCCCATTTGGAAGAGGTTGAGAAGCTCGTAGACTGACATGTCGTCTCTCACGATTGGTACTGGATATAGGGGCAGATCCCTCACAGTGAGTTTTGTCTCGGATTTTGCCTCGTTTTGAGTGTCCAAGCCGATGAGGTACTGCGATACGATTAGCAATCTGGGTCAATAGCTTCACGGCTTCACACCTGCGCTCGCATACCTTGACATGAAGAAAGCCAAAGATCTGGTTATCTTCCCAGGGATCTCTCATAATGCCGTTCTCGTCCGTGACCAACGGTGGGCCGCCAACCACGGGTATACGGCTATAGGACCAAGACTTGACCTTCGTAATGAACGCTTCGTCCACAATATCCTTGATGTTGACAGTCTTGACCGCACTCCACTTGACGATGACACCCCGAGAGACAGGCGATGTTGCCTTTTCAAGGTCCTGCGAGCTCTCGTCGAGACTGGAGTCCGATGTTCGAAGGACGTCACCATCGAGTCTTTGGGAGTCAAGTTTCAATGCTCCGAGCATGATGCGGGTTGCATCTTTTCCGAGTTTTCCGCCATTCTTCGCAGAGGCCTCGTGGTACTTGATGACTGCACCAAGTTCTTTGTTCTTGAACACGCCGAACTTGTCCCTCTTGGTGTATATGCTGTCTAACAACCAGGCGAGTGGCCAGGTAACAACACACGTAGCCCACATGCAGCCCCAAATTATGAGCCAGCAATGATAACCCCAGGCCACTGCTTGCTTGGGAATGATGTATTGAGGAAGGATCTCCACGAATATGGCCATTGTCAAGGTCGAGATCAGGATGGGAACCCACGCCTGTGATCCATGGTAAATGCTCTGGATGACGAATGGGAAAGTCTGACTGCATGCGACTGAAACAAGAACCAATGAACCTGCAATTATCAGCATGTGGGAGGCTTCAGGTTGAATTATTTAGACTTACAGAGCATCCACGTCGAGTGTTTTTTCATGTAAAGCACTTTCTGAGCCCGGCGTCTGAAGCGAGGGCATTAGTAGAGAGTTAAGTCATGACATTAGATTTGAAACATTACCTGTCTCTCGGACTTCCCGTCACACTTCTAAGCTGCAAATAGTTCATGTCGAGTCCGCAGATTGCGAGTGTCAGGCCAGTCAGTAGGGCACAGAAGATCACCAGAAGACCGGCCACAGCGACCATTGCTATTTGTGCACCACCGTAGAACACCACGTATTTGTCTTCTTTGTCTTTCAATTCCGCTTCTCGAGGTCGCACCCTCAAGTCAGTGGGGTTGGGCCACCCTGGGCATTGCTGCCTCCACATGGCACAGTCTGTGGCCCCCGTCGATGTACGGCCTGGGCCATTGTAGGGACCGTCACTACAGACTCCATCCCAGTTCTCGATGGCGATGTCTCGACGTCCCCTTCTCCCCTCCGGCCGAGGGTAATTTCCCAAGTCTACTAATTCGGGTTGCTTCTTGAGAAAGTCAATAGTGCCTGGACGAGAAGCCATGGTGTCTACCGCCGGTTGCAGATATAGACGTGTGTCTTGATAAGAATCCAAAATGAGTTATACGTTAAGAGTAGCGATGCGAAAGCCCGTTGCAGCAATGATATGGATGAGATGTTGCAATGCGATACCTGAACAAGTAGACAAACGACAGAAAGAAAAATACCTCGCTCTGCGACCAACACACGGCAGGCGTGACTGACCGACACTACCTTTGACCAATACCATGACGCCGAGATTGTACAAAGGTAGAAAGAGCAATGAAGACAGCGGCTGGCATTAAGAAACAAGTGCATGGATGCTTCTACGCATATAAAATGCCATCTAAACGTACAATCTTGAAAGAACAAGCAAGAAGCAGAGTTCGCCGTCCCGAAGCCAGGGAAGAGATTCCAACCGTAAATTCATCGGACGCCAGACCCTGCCCTCTCAAATGGGATTAAATTTGGCCCGAGCAGAAATTGGCATCGACCGTTGGGTGCAGAATGAACTCAGATACGAACTGGCCAGCTCACTCCGGTCGTGGTCGCTTGGCGCCGTGAGGGTTTTGCCAGTCTCCCCCTACTGAATTATGGGGAAAGAAAGACGGGCCGAATTGTTGTTGCATACCCGGGAAGCCGCCTATATCAAATCAGTAACATATTACAACCCCGAGATGTGAACGGCATGGGGAGAACTTACCTGGCATACCAGGCATGGGGCCCACGTTCGGGACCACGTTCATCATAGGCATACCACCAACCGCCTGCATCCCTCCCATAGGCATACCACCCATCATGTTATTCATGCCGCCTCTGCCTCCTCTCATATTAGGTCCGCCGCCTCGCATACCGCCCATCATGCCGCCACGGTTCCAGAATTGCATATTCATAGGAGGATTATTAGGGTATTGATTTTGGATAGGGTAGCCAGCCATGCCGGAGGGAGAAAAGTTCCGGTTGAAGTTGTTCATGTTGTTGTTGTTGTTATTGTTGTTGTTGTTGTTGTTCATGGTGTGGTTCATGTTGCCTCGGGCATTGTAACCAGCACTTCGTCCTCGGAAACCTCCGCCAAAGTTATTGTTTTGGCCGTTACCAGAAGTTGCCCGGTTGCTTGGTCCATCCTTGCCAGCTCGTGCAGGAGCATCCTTTGGAAGCGTTCGGAATGGGTTGACGTTAGGGTTGGAGTAGATAACGGTATGCTTCTTGACGTATTGCTGGCCCTCGCCGAATGCATCAATCTTGTGCTTCGCAGCCGTAGCCGCCTGCTGGGAGGAGAATTCAACATATGCTTGTCTATAATTTTGGTGTCAGCGTCTATTTTTCTTTTATTCTTTTTTGACAGATTCTCTTCATCATACCCTTTGCTTTTGCCATTCACTTTGTGCTCCGAGAAAGTAATATCTTTCATCTCATCCTCAACCTGCGCCTGATTGACCCATCCTCGGACATCGTCATCTGTATTCCACCAGTTTAAATCAGAGATCAGTAAGGCTGTCGTAGCTCCAGGATCGATTGGACGCTCATCGGAACCCTCCTTCCTTTTGACACCCTGTTGCTGCGGGGCCTTCTTCGGGATGTTCAGCGAATCTCCTCCAGAATCGTCGGTGCTTTTGATTTTCTGCTGCTCGGGAATTTGGCTGTCTTGACCATTGCTCAGCTTTACATCGCCATGGTCGTTCTCTGCCTGGTCGTTCTGTGCCTCTCCGTGCTTCGAAGTGTTTGCCTCAGTCGCGTCACCATCGACTGGCGAAAGACCTTCAATCTTCACGTCGCCTTCATCATCCTTCTTAAGTTCACCTTCCGCCTCCTGCTCGGTGTTGGTATCGCCATAGATATCGATGTCGAACTCGTCGTCAGCCATCGCGCCTGCAGTTAAGACCTAAAGTCTATCTGTGTTTGAAGATTGATCTGTATTGGTTTTAATGACACCCTGATTCTATTCCACAGTGAAGGATTTCTGTAGGATAATGACATGAAGATCAGCGCATGAAGACATCTGAATTAGCACTCCCAACCCTCCAACACGCGCGCAAAAACGTCGACTTGGTCCGAAATACATGGAATAGATACAGATACGTACACTCCTAAAACCAAATAGAACTATTGTCAAGTCTGATAGCCTTCATTGGCCGATGCAGACAAATTGAGAGGGAAGATGAAGCTCTGTGCTTGCAATCTTGAATAAGTTCGTTCGGTTCAGACAACCTTTGAAGATAGTCTGAGTGAGCGTCTGAAGAGAGCAAGATCCAGCTTCTTCAAAGTGAAAGCAACAAATGAGCTGAGCTGAGCTGATCTGATCTGATCTGGAATCTGGTCTGGTCTGATCCGACTGAAACAATGAAGGTTGTTTGTAAAGAAGACCCTGCCCAGCTGTCCAGTCCAGCTACCCCTTCTTTCTCCAGCCTGATGACCCGAGCCTTGTCCAACAAACACCTAGTCGCTGAGCTGAGCCTCGTAAATTAGAGTCGAGCGTTGGGTATCGATAGCTGCATAGGTGAGGTGAGTCGCAGGATGGGAGAATCCGTCGCCGTCGTCGGTTTGGCAGCTTGGATGTTGACGATGTTGCTGGAGGGATCCATGCGCCAGGAGTCGGAGTTGGAATTGCGAGAAAGCCCGAGCCAGCCTCAGAGAGCTTAGCTTTTTTAAACATCACGTGATATTAGGTTTGTGTTAGCGGGCGTCGGCGATTGAACCCAGATCCGGCCCCTTGATTATCCGAGAGGCCAGCGCAACCTTACGAGATACCTGGAGTGCAGACCACACCATCACGGCTTTCACGAAAACTACACCTCGTCGCTCTCTACACCCTGCCAGCGAATCTACCTGACAATCATCTTCTGCTACACCCGATCGAAAAATCTAATCCAAATCCCGCAACCATGTCCGACCAAATCCAAGAGTTCATGGAAATCCCTCGGGACTTCGTCAAGGACGGAACGCAATTCATCAACAAATGCACGAAGCGTATGGAGCCCTCCTCAATATTCTCTAAAAACTCCTAGAATCTATACTCTGCGCTGGTATCATTGGTTTTCGAGGGAATTCAAGTCGTGGACCCGAGAACAGATACCTCGAGACAACAGCAGAGACAGAGGCAGCCAGCGCAGAGCAACATCTTGAACGGACTACTGCAATCAAGCACCTGCTAACTATCCAACAGCTGATCGTAGAGAATTCATCAAGATCTCGCAAGCTGTCGGTGTTGGGTTTCTCGTCATGGGCGCCGTGGGTTACTTGGTCAAGCTCAGTCAGTGCTCTCCTACTACGTGAGGCTGGATCAACTATCTAACACACCAATCCCAGTTCACATCCCAGTCAACAATATCCTAGTAGGTGGAGCATAGTTTGGAGCAGGTGTACGAGGTGGTGGAAGTTCGCATTACCAGAGGGGCGGTGTTTCGAGCGAGCGCCCAACGAACGATGACACTTCGAGTGATTGGGGCATCTACCGCGCTTGCAGGCTGCGGCATTGTACAATACTTTGGACTGGGGCTCCGTATGATAGCGCTGGTTATGGATGGAAAAAGATATCTGGCCTGCTTTGTTTGGCGCATTCTTCGACGTGTGTTTATACCGACTGTGGGATTGTTGAGCGCGCAATGCAACAGGGCTTCTCTGTTATACAGGCTATGGCAGCAAGTGGTTACGTCTTCCGGTGCGGAGGTATGATATGTATTGATTCCTCCGATTTCGGTTATCGTTATAGGCACCAGAGTCTGCTAAGCCAAACGAGTGTTTTGGAAGCCTGACTGACAGCGTGATTGATTGAGTGAAAAAGACATTCTGCCTCTGATAATTAGATACTATGCTACTGATCTCCGATTAAAGAGTACTTGGCGCGGCTGTACAAGAAAAGTTGGTGAACTTCTTGTCCGGACCACTCACCACAGCAGATCGTACCCTATTAAGTATTTCTCGCTTATGGAATCAGGAAAGGATATTGCATTATCATAAATAGGCAGTTGGCTAAAGGGTGGGTATGGCTCGCAGTTGCACGTTCTAAGGCCTGTATGGCTCGCAACTAGCAAGTTGAATAGCAATCTGCAACTTGAGATTATTTTTTTCAAAGATAAAAAAAATCGATCTAATATAATCACTAATTATTTTCTGTCGTAACAAACTTAAGATCAATGACGCTATTTTATTACATCGATTCCTTTGAACTCGATGTTTTTTATTATAAAGGCTCTTCTTGCGAGTTCCTTTTTGAAATCCGCATGTATCGAGTATTTCGCAATTTGGCTTTGCGTATTAACAAGTCTTCAATATATCGAAAATCGTTTCAAAAGACTCTTAAGTTGTTTATAAAAGAGCTCTTTTACTTATTGAAGACCTATTATCTTTAAAATATGCTAAAGTGTTTTTGCGAAATTGTTTTCATAATATTAAGTAGCGGCGCACGCTCTTATTGCAGCGATAATAACACCGATATTGCGATTGCGCAAATCACGCCCTTTTAAAATCTTTTTTTAACAAAAGCTGTTGCAAAAAGGTAGCGTTGTAAAAGGATGAAAAAGTGACTAATAAAATAAGCGGAAAGGAAAGTGGGGAGGACGGGTGTGGAAGAGGGGGGGGAGAGAAAGGGTGAATAGCTTGCAACTTGAGCTTGCAACTTGAGCTTGCAACTTAGGAGTTGGAGCTTTTTGCTGTAACTTCGATTTGTATGGTGCAACTGCAAGTTGCCAGGTCAGATGTATACTTTATAAGATATACGTGCACGAGCCATACAGATTGCTCAATTCTTGCATCTTGACGTGCAACTTGGAGATGCAAGAATATTTTGGTGGTGCAACTTGGCTTGCATCTGCGAGCCATACAGGCTCTAAGTGTGAATTCGACGTTGTATTTAAGATGGTCTTCAATATGAGAACCAAAAACAGTGCGCTGACCTTGGTATCGCTTCCAGCTAACGAATATCAACGCTTTCGTCGATCAAATATTAAAGTCGATCGATTCAGCGAAATTTGACCCATTAACCGCATGTACGCTTCCGTACAATCGTCGGTTGCCTTAAATTTAATCCGAAAGAATTGACCCACTTGCTATAGCAAGTCGGCACCACCAAGGCGGGACGGTAAAACTTGCCCTTTTATAATAAATAAAAATCAATCGACTATTATATCGTAATTGTTTTTGTATTTGTTTCAAAGGATGCACCGTACTGAGTTTACTATTAATCGATTCATCAAATTTTAATCATAAGTTGTTATTCATTTATTGTATGAAGTTTAAGTAGTAAAAATAGTACTTTTGATATATACTTTTCGGCCTTACTAATGCGTATATGATCAGAATTGCCGTATAAATACTAAAATAAGCGAAGAATACGAAAATCGGACTTTTATTCAAACCTACCTATTAAAAGAATGCGTGCATTACAACTAACTTTTATTGAATAATTAATATATTTAATAAAATGACAGATTAGATGATTTCTTTTCGATCTATAGAGCGTTTTTTTTTAGTTAAGGTTATAGTTGTTAAGATAATCGAAGCAGATAAGTAAAATTGAATTATTTAGGACAATTATTAGCTATATTTTCATTACATTTCGATGTATTGAATCACTGAAATTGAATGCATTTTTGTATTCTTTAATTCACGTTTGTAAAGCAATGTTTTTTAAGCATACGAATTTTTTTTATTTCATTTTTTTTATTAATAGTTGTTGTTTAATAAGTGGTATACCGTTACTGTCCCGCCTTGGTGGTGCCGACCTGGCGCAGCCAGATCGGGATTTTTTTACCAATTAAATTCAAGGTAACCGATAATTAACAGTCAGTGCGCTGACTTTGACCTGCGAGCTTTCGGTAACAGTCAGAACAAGCAACTGTCCCAGGTCAAGCAAGAAGCGTCCCATCTTAAATAATATGCAAAATCGAGTTAAAGATCATAAAAAATAATCAAAAATCACGGTTTGGATCGTAAATAACTTTACAACGCAACAAGCTATAATAATAAAAGCTATATTTACGTATCAGCGCTACGATCTACTAGTATATTATCAAATATTAGATATATATATATTCATTATTATAATATCTATTGCGCAAAAGACTTGTTTTTTTGAAAATGAAAACTCGAAATAAGTTATCGATTATTAGCTTCGGAACATCAAAATATCAGCTAGAATTGATGCGATTTGCAACCCGAATAAATCAATAACGCAACGAGTACGGTAATAATATTGAAAAATAAATGCACGAAGTAGAGCAATCGAGCTTTATTTAATTATCGATTTTTTTTATATCTATATATCTGTTGTTAAATGCAATTAATATCGTAAAATATAACTTCTTTCAATTGGAAATAAGTGAAATGAGACACTTGCTTGACCTGGAAACTTGCTTGTCTTGACTGTTACCGAGAGCTCGCAGGTCAAAGTCAGCGCACTGACTGTTACTCCATACTGTAGGAGCAAAAGATGCAAGGGACCGAGATAAGATATTTGCTTACTAATATCAGCTTTCGAGCAAGGGTTTGGGATGGCCCCGGGATGGTCCCCGGATGATCCCCGGTCTTTTCGTAAAAAGACCCGACTTGTATAAACGACGATCCGATCGATTAAAATAGTCGTATTTCAATGATAATCTCTTTACAAAAGACGGGCTCTAAGGAACGATAATCCTACTAATTAAATCGGTCCTATTTCAGCTACGATCCAAATCACTTGAATCGTCATTTATTGAATACAATCTTTTTTCAGGTCTTGACGACGAGTAGTCTATTGACCCGTCCTTAAAGTCAAGGACCATCGTTGAAAGAGACGGTCGAAGGACGGTCCGTGGTAGAAACTATTAATACGCTTGCTAATGTTAGTCAAATGAATATGATATGGGATATGTGAAAAAAGTAAAAAAAATTGAAGATATATATCTCTTCCTGCAACTACGTTAGACTGGTCGAAAGTCCTTTCCAAGCTTCAAAACTACTTCGGATATTTATTAATACGATGCAACTACAATCGAAGTCCATTTGCGCATTCTTGCTGGCCTTGAGCTTTGCCCAGAGCTTTGCCTCGGGCTTAAGCTGGGACTCTTTTCTTAATAGAGCTCAAGGACTTTTCGGAGGAAGACAAATCATCGGCTATCGAACAGTTAGTAAAGTAAGTTTCAATCACTTGATCTAATCGTCGGTTACCGACGATTGCATGGCATAAGCTTATACTAACTACGCCAAATGAAGCTGGAGGCCGATATGGTTAATTTTAGAAATAGGCCATTTAGAGATAGAGCATTCGATTTAAATGGTCGATTTCAACAACTTGGACATGGCCTTTATTTGTGTAAGTTGATTCTTACATTTACAAATCGTTATCCTATTACGCGAAGCTAATACCTCAAAAATAGCAAACGAGGCTGGTCTCTGGAATGGTAGACCAGGATCTTGGTATTGTGCTATCAAAGCGAATAAGAAAAAGATTGCAAAAGCGAATAAAATATATATCCCAGAATATTATGAACATACGACTGAGGATGGTGAGATTGAAAACACGCACTTATGGGTCGGACGTGAAGATGAGATCTTGGAATACCTCGAATCGAGGGTTAAGGACCCCAAGAAGGCGCTACGCTTCTCATATACCCTATATGAAGGTTGGAGTATGCAAATGCTTATTCCAACTGATATGGTAAATAATAATGATGAGTTCGATTTATGGGCTAAATGCTTTGAAACAAAGAGAGAGCTATTTAAATATTCGAGCGCGACTATTGATTGGAAGAGTTGGAATATTGTTGGAGATCCTGGAAAACCCTTCTGATTGGCAAAGTTGGGATATTACTGGAGATCCTGGATTACCTACCGGCCTTTGTGAAGGGATGGAATGAACAATTCGGCTGATAGAAATGCCAAGGAAACCCCCACAATGGACTTCTTCTCTCCTCTTGTAATTTAGTATCTTGGTGCTTGGAGTATGCTTTGGCTTCGTAATATAATTTGAAAGGGGTGGGTGGCTCGTCAATTGTATATTAGCGCAAAAATGAAATATGGGTATTCAATTAGTCGAGAATAGTAGCAATGTGACGAACGTCACCCAGATTCCATACCTTACTTTCTATGTTGGGGACTCTGGCCCAGCCTTCCTACTACAGTATGTTTACAAATGGAGAAATATCTCGCTTGGACGGGTGGAATTAGTTTGATGCAGGTTACTCATCAGTCCTATTTGCTTCTTCTTTTCTTCTTTTTCTTCTTCATCTTCTTCTTCTACTACTACTACCACTACTGCTGCTGCTGCTGCTCGTTCAAGCTTCGAAGCGTCAATCAGCTATCAATCAGACTATCAAAGACGCCCAACATCTCACTCATCTCCTTCGTTGTTCCGGCATATAGATCGGTCCTCGGTCACAACACTACGTCCCGATCACTTCCCCATCCTCCTCGTCTCGGATTCCAACAACGGCTACGGCAATGGCCACTGAGACAAATGTTCCAGCTCTTCGATGAAGGCCCCGGTACACATGCGGGTTGATGGGAGGAGCGGTTTGGCAGTGCTGGGAATGAGGCATGGTCCTCGAGTCACAACTGGTCGGTCAATGCTCCGACGGCTTGCATGGGAACTGGAGGCAGTATGATATTGATAGGTGTATTATTGACCGGAATATGTTGTGGTATGCTATTTTACGATATGCTATGTTACGATATGCTATGTTATAACGTGCTATGTTATGATATGCTATATAGTGATATGCTATGTTATGATATGCTATGGTATGATACTCGGCTTTTGTTTGCTGTCATTCATTCGCTTGCAGATCATCCATCAGCTCACGTCAGCCAAAGCGCCATTCCAACAGAAACCAACCATGGGTTATAACAATTCTGTACAACAATATGGCAATGTAGCTATTCCCGGTAGATGCAACTACCTACTTACCTACTTACCTACCTACCGACCTACCTACCTACCTACCTACCTACCCACCTACCGGTACCTACGTGCATGTGCATGATCATTGCATCTTCACATGTCAATCATCTGCAGAGTTGAAGGAGAGCCTTAAGGATATATCAGCAATCCAAGCATTCCTTGCACGAGCCCGCAGCATTCTGCATTCCGAGCTCGGCTATTGATGAACAAATATAAATAAATACTCCGGAGCCCACGTGTTTACACGTTTCTTCGACTTCCCGAATTCCCTGCTCCCGCCGCGTCTTTCCAAACCTCAACGCTTCTATGCTTGTCAATGGTGAGCAACGGGTTTCCGAGTGAGGCGATCATGGCCGGCAGCGGATATGTCAACGAGAACCAGCCTTTCGGGAATAATCCGTTCGTCAGCGTTCCCTCAGATGTCGACCGGAATCCTTTTCGCCTCGTGCTGGCTGATCTGGGCTTTATCGTGTACTTACGCTCACTTCTGATCCAGATCATCCTGCCAATGGGACCTCAGATCTCGGGGGAATTGGATGAGCTGTACCTGTCCTGGGCCAACATCAAGGATCTGACCATTCATGCCGTTCTCCTCGCGACCCAGATCCTCCTGCTGCTGTCTATGCCCGCGTTGTTTATTATCTTCTGGCTGGTACCCGGCGTCGTTCCCATCATTTTAGTCGCCGCGTTCTGGGGCAGCACGTGGGTTGGGATGAGGCTTCTCAACGGCTGGCGAACGACCGAGTGTCAGGTCGGATTGCCCGATGGACTCGAACCCGTCAACGACGAAAAGGAGCTGTGGTTCTTCATTAATGGAGTTGCAACTGGGTATGCCGATCAGCGTTTGTCCCTTTTCTCCAACTCTGCATAGCGAAGCCAGCCAATTTGACGAAACTAGGAAAAACTGGCTTCAATCGAACCTGGATCTCCTCGCGCGAACCTTCCAGCGTGAGATTGTCGGCATCCGCAACACCACGTACGTTTAGAGTCACGAATGAAGTACCATGGTACTGCCCCACAGACCACAGCTGAACGTCTCTAGCAACGGCTTCATCTTCGACCTCATCGAGTGCCTCATTCAGAGAGACCTCGACTACAAGACGCGAGACATCCGGCAAGGTCGTGCCCAGATCCGGGCCGCTGTGGCCGCGCCAGCGACCAAGAAGGTCGTCCTCATCCTCCACTCCCAAGGCGGCATCGAAGGCTCCTCCATCCTCGACTGGCTGCTCGCCGACCTCTCGCACGAGGTCATGGCCAAGCTCGAGATCTACACCTTCGGCAACGCCGCGCGCCGCTTCAACAACCCGCTCGTCAGCAAGCCCGCCTCCCCGCTCGTCGACGAGAGCAAGGGCGGCCGCGGCGAGCGCGTTATCCGGCACATGGAGCACTACGCCAACTCCCGGGACTTCGTCGCCAACATCGGCGTGCTGGAGTTCACGAGCCCCAAGGCGCAGCCGTTCACCGACGGGAACGCCTTCTTCGGGACCGTCTTCGTGCGCGAGGGGCCGGGCCATCTGCTCAACATGCACTACCTCGACAAGATGTTCACCATGGTCAACGGCGTGGTGGACGAGGCCGGGAACACGTTTATGAATTCCTTGGTGCCGAGGAGGTAGGTGCTCTCCCTCTCCTTCCTTCTCTCCCTCTCCCTCGCTCCCTCCCTCCCTTTCAACAACCCCCCGAATATATAACCAATACGTTTATAGAAACCCTCGCCACCTCCCCTCCAAAAACAGCGACAAGGCCGCCAACTTCAACGGAACGACCGAACGCAAGATGATCAAGGACGTCTCGCGCCTGTGGCAGTACATCAACGGGAAGAGTCCCAAGGATGATGATATCAATCGCTCTGGCTCTGGCTCTGGCTCTGGCTCTGGGTAGGCCGACCTTCATCCTCCCCCGGTCAAAGCGTCGTCGCCGCCTTGAGCTTGAGAAGTGTACGCGAATGCTTACTTCCGCCGCGCGGATTCGTTGCGGTGTTTTTTGAAGGGTGGAGGGGCGGGGTCGAAGGTTTCAAAGTTACTTGTACTTTTTCAGGCTTGATTGACTAGCTGACTGACTGACTGACTAACTAACTGACGGGTTTTGCTGTGGATGCTATATTTCCGTCGGCTTCATCTGAAGCTGGATGGAGCCGTTCGTTCTGTTTATGTAATAAGTACATACATGCATCTACCTAGGCATCGAGAAGCTTTTGGACATAAATATTCACACACATAATATTTATTTAAAACCATATCCACCCGCTCTTGTTACATTTTGATTTGATTTGCCATAAAGTCATGAAAGCCCTCAGAATTGAGGAAAAGATGGCAGGAAAAACAGATTTATTATTGCTGTCTAAAACAATCGATACGGGTTGCCCCATCGCCGAAAGATCTCTTGTACTGTACATATACACCGGCAGTGGACATCGCCATCGCTCTTTCCCCCGGCCCTCCTTGTTGCTGAGTGTAGGCCGGCCACCTAATAGTCATTCTCGAATGGGATATAGTTGTTCACCTCCCGACTTTTCGCCGCCCGCTTCCCGCTCACCAGATGCAACAACAGCTCATTCCTTGGAGCGTCAATTCCCAGCTCGTATGCCCTGCGCTTCAGATACCCGTTGTAAAACGTGATATCCGTGCGGTTGCCCGCCCGGACGTCCTGCAGCATCTTGGAGAGGTTTTTTCCGCTCTCCTTGATCTTGCTGACGATGATGGCTTCGAGTTTCTTAGTGTTGAACTCGGTTTGGAGATGTGAGAGACCGCGGAGCTCTGGAAAGGAGCATATGAGGTGCGACATCTCGTGGACGAGGAAGCGCATGGTCTGGGAAGCGTCATAGTTGTAGAGCAAATAGTCGTTGGTGGTGTCGTATACCACAGAGAGGGGGCCAATGACGGCGTTCGCGACGAGTTTCTGAAGCTGGGATGCGTAAAAGCTCTTGTGGCCAAGAGTGAGGGTGCTGAGACATGGTGTGCGGGCCAGAGTGCCGACGAGGTGGCTGGCGCCTGCTGACCAGCTCATGTCTTTTCTTATCAGCTTGGCTCCTGAAATTGCCCCTAACGGGGTGATGAACTCCTGTGGGAGCTTGGAGCACTGCAATCGCCCGGAAGACTTTTCGATGATGGTAAAGTGACGCTCGGTTGACTCGAGCTTGTGTGTCATGTTGCCAAGGATATATGTTGGTCTTTTGTACGGGTCTGGGAAGACTTTTTCGTTGACCAGTTCCGCAAGCCCTAGGCCGTCATTAACGAAGAAGATGGTGGACTGGTGTCGAAGGCGATCCTTGATTGTGTGCAAAGCCTTTACCGTCCTGTCGGTGGGGGTCGTCACAATCACCGTATCGATCGGGTAAGCCGGTGGCTCTGCAGTGTGTTCGGCATTTGGACCAAAGCCTGCGAATCGCTGACGGGAATCGAGCCTCTTGAACTCTGCTGATGACTCGATGTGGAAATTGGTTTGCGTCTCAAGCTTGTCGCCCTTGATGACATGGATGGCAGCGCCCTCGTCGTGCCAGTTTTGCATCATCAGCGGGCGATGCATCAAAAGAGTGACCGGAGGGGCGTGAGGCAAGGCAGCAATAGAATGGGCAATGTATTTTCCAACAGTACCGAGTCCCAGGATGTGGATTGTGCGGTTCAGAGGCTCCAATTGAGTGTCATGGTCTGTTAACGAAGCGACGTATTCTTTCCAATGTTTATAAGTCTGTTTTGGATTTTCCAGGTCGCGCATTGCCCGAACAAGTTCAAGATCTTGTTTAGTCACGGCTTCCTCTTCCTTATGTCCCGTAGGCCAGTCATCATGTGTAGATCCATCTTCGAAGTCTTGCCAGTTGGGCTTTGGTTTGGCTTCTTCCACTGGTGCAACCCTTTTCACATGATGTCCTGTAGCCGGGTCCATTGCCCTCCCCCAGGGTGACCAAGGGGCCATAAATTCGTACAAGTCCGGATGGAAAGCCTCGATTTTGCCTTCCGCAAGAGTACCATCCGGATATTGGTGAATCCCATGCCCTTCTTGCGGATGTCGTTCCTCGTCAGTCCCCGTACTTGTCGACTCCCAGGCCTTGCTTGGAGGACCCGATTTGCTGACTGCAGATTCAATGGGGGATTCCACATGTTGTGACTCCGCCTGTCCTGCATCGCCATCCTCCACTCCTCTTCCGGTTAGCAAATGTGGTTCTTCCACGAACTTGGGCTGTGTGTTTCTGGATTCTGGGGAGTCTTCCAATCCCCCGTCTCTGCCTCTCTTTTTTTTTGAGCTGATTGTATCTTTCCCTCCCATCTCTGTGTCCTTCTTCGTACTGTACATCCTCCTCCCTGCAGCTCTAATGTCTTGCTCTATCCCCATGTCACCCATCTTAGCCACCCTAGTCGTACACTTCGCCTCTCCCTTCGTCTTCCTCCTCGGCCACCAGTAACTCTCATGATGCGTAAAAGAGAGACAGCGCCTGGCCACCCGGCCCGCGCCGGTGCTATCGTAGAGCCATGCGTTGTTACGAGGTATCCTTCGAAACACCCGCAACAGCGGACGACCGCAGACTGGAAGAGACAGGATGAAAATTTCTCGATGGCTATTGGACTCGACTCATGGCAGACGTGGAACCAGGCCGAATGCGCTGGTAGGGAGGAAATAGACCAGGAATCGCGGAGTGGCGACTATGTAAACATACAGGTACATACAGCTGGACAGGAGGAGGTAAGAGGGCTAAAGATATACAAGAAAACCAGGGGCGACTGGTTCGATTCGTATTCGGGTTTGAATTCGAGTCCAGAGGCGCAATTGTGTACAAGGGCGACTCGAGTGATGCGATTTATAGAAAGCGATTGGAGGGGAGTAGTCCAGTGGCGATGCTCGAGTCGAGTCTGATCTGCGACGTCAACATAAGAGAGGTGCGAGTTTGAGGTGCCTCTGTACCTCGAAAATATAAAGATCATCGATCCGTGCCCGCGCTTCTCCCCATCCCTGTACAAAATCCAGAGACCGTAGTTTAAGCGGCGGCCGCGTGGGAGTGTTTTCGAACCGCTTTGTTTTCTGCAGGTATCCTTGGATCGTCGACTTGCTCAAAAAGAGCCCGGCATACATCTACAACCACCTCAAAATGGACTCTACCAAGGTCATGTCTCTGCTTGAGACACTGGACGACGAGATAGATGATCTTGAGGAGTCCCTGGAGCCTCTGATCAAGGTCGCGCTGTCCGAGACTGCCTCCAAGCTGCCCTTGCTAGACAAGGCCAAGCTTTATATCTTGGTCACCTATGCCATTGAGTCGATGCTATTCTGTAAGTTGCTCCCCTCAGGACAAGTGCGCATTTCTAATATCTACTCTAGCATATCTGCGACTCCATGGCGTCAAGGCCCGCGACCACCCGGTCTTCAAGGAACTCACCCGGGTCAAGCAGTACTTCGACAAGATCAAAAATATTGAGAATCCCCTAGAGAGGACGATGGCGGTTGACAGAGCAGCTGCGGCCCGGTTCATCAAGGCTGGCTTGGTGAGTCGTCTCCGTTGCAGAATAGACGGATGGATCCGCACCCTTTCAAATTACTGATCTTTCTAGGCTGGCAACGACAAATACGACCTGGTGAGAGCGGAAAAAATAGCAAAGGAAAGGGCGATAGCACACATCAAGTTCAACGAGCCATCGAAAGACGCCGAGAAGAAGCGGAAGGCGGGCGAATTGGAGGCACCGGCCGATGAAGATTCCTCTTCCGACTCCGAATCCTCTCCAGAGTCCTCCGAGCCAGCTGAGAAAGTGTCGAAGAAGAAGCCGAAGTTGACGAAAAAGGAGAAGGCGAAATTAAATGCGGAAGGGGAGGCAAACAGGGAGAAGATTGATAAGAAGGCGGCGAAGAAGGCGAAGAAGATCAAGATGAAGCAGAAACAGTTGGCTGCAAAAGCTGCGAAGCGCGAGGCTTAAACTTCCGTTAGGAAGCCATGGATTAGGACGACATTTCCAGAGCATGGCGTTATTCTGGACCGCGGGGCAACGAACATGGAATTGGCGTTCAGGAAATTCTCAGGCACCCAACTGTCTATGGGCATTTATTTGCATGGCGTTTATGATATCCGGATGAAAAGTAGAAAGCGCGTCCGAGTACAGAGACCGCGTCGCGAGATATGAATGGTACTTTGTTTTTCTTCCTTTCGTTGACCGAAGTGATTGTGACTTTTTAGAATAAAAAATGAACTCACAATCATTGATACTTAGAGCGTTTGATAGCTCGGATTTCATTCCCGTGTTTACTTGCCTCTGCGCCACCCAATGCCTCCGGGGTAATTTGAATTCGCCGCCTCTGCGCCAATCACAGCGCTGGTCATTACCACGCTAAAAGTGTAAATTAAGTACTGTACAGAAGAAAGCCGAGGCCCTTCCACGATGGTCATCAAGACTTTCTTCATACCAACCTCAACCTCGAAACAACTGCGACATACCTAAATTTCCAACACCACACTATCCAACCTACATCCACGATGCCTCGTCAATCCAGATCCGGTGGTGGCCGCGCCCCTGCACGCCCAACTGTTCCTCAACGACAAGTCGCTCCCCAGCAAACCCGGCCAGCTACTACCTCCGCCGCACCACCCGCCCCCCAACAAGCACAACCGCCTGTAGCTCCTCAGCAGGGCTCTGGCGCCGGCGGCATGATCAGCGGCATTGCTCAGACAGCTGCGTACGTCCACCTCCCTTTCCTCCTCAGTTCAGTACGAGAGATGAGGAAACACGGAAACGCATACACACCAGTTTTCGTTCAAGACATTGGAATAAGAAACATGATACTGATATCTATTGTGCAACAGTGGTGTTGCTGCCGGCCATGCCATCAGCAACTGGATGTTTGGCGGCAGCTCTGCGCCAGCTGCCGAGCAGGCCCAGCAGGGTGCTGTGGCCAACAACACCCAGGCGAGCGAGCAGAGCAGCAGCTGGGGCCCCAAGGCATGCGAAGGGGATGTCAAGCAGTTCACAACTTGCATGAATGAGAATAAGGGGAACATGCAGATCTGCGGGTGGTACTTGGAGCAGCTGGTAAGGACTTCCTGCGATTCCGGATGGAAGGAGATGGGGAGAGGGTTGAACGGGTTGAGCGTACAGTGAATGGCGATGAAATGAAAGATGAATGCTAATGAACTTGTGATTTGCAGAAGGCGTGCCAACAGGCTGCTAGCCAGTACTAGACACTTGCTGGTAGCTGAGGGAGGTTGGGGTTGTGCATTCGGGAGGCGAAGCAAAGTGTAACATAGTCGACATTCTCGAGAGGCAACACCGCTCTTCATGTTATCATGACTCAAGATAAGCTCTGAGCATACTCTCATATTTTCTATGATGCGCTGCATCCTCTTCCTCACTGTTCTTTTACATCTTTGAGCTTGACTGTGTGAACATCCAGTGCATCCGCCGGTCCATCCCGTCATCATAGCAGCGCACCGCAAATAGCCAAGGCCTTGCTTTTGCTACAATGCCATGGAAACTTTTCTTTCTTTCGCTCCCTCCTCGACTCCGATATCTCTGTACCACTTCCAAAAAGGTTCGCTCGGCCATACCGGTACAACGGAAACATACGGACGCCGAGCACCATCGCCCAAAATCCACCATGATCAACCAGGCCAGTAAAACGTTCCATGATGCTGTCTGTACCCTAGAGCGAGCGGTCTTGAAACCCCCCTCTAATACCTCTGGACCGGAACCCACTAGCTAGCCATCCACCGCGAGAAGCTTTTCATAATCTACAAGATTGCTAGCCCGGGAACGCATGAATCGATCGATACGGTACTGATTAGGAAGGGGAGAGAGTGGCTTCTGATACGTAGGTAGGTAGCCGAGAGCTGGATTTCTAGTCTAAGCTAATGGCATGCGAGCGTTTGAGATGAGGTTGCGTTGTTTATGGATGCTTCGCTTCATTTTTTTTTATTTTTTATTTTATATATATATATATATATATATATATATTTTGTAGTGGATCATGTATGTGTGAGAATGGGAGGCGGGATGAATGGATGGTAGGTAGGTAGGTAGGTAGGTAGGTAGGGAGGGAGGTAAGTAGGTAGGTGTGGAGATACAGTGAGTGATTGATCGTGTTCGATGTTGAGATAGAAAGAAGGGGAGGGAAAGAAAGAAAAGAAAGAAAAGAAGCAAGCCGCTGACAATATCGAGGTCTTTGTGATGAGGCTGAGGGCTATGGCAAGCAAGTAAGCAAGCTGAGGGAAGGGAAGGGAAGTGCGAGGCAGGGGAAGATAGAGAATGTGTTGTTTTTTTTTTTTTTTTTTTTTTTTCAGCACACTGGGTGCCGGGCTCATCTCTTCCGATGGTGTTGGAAGAAAGGGAACATCCTCTCGCGGACTTGTCTTGTAGGTCGAAGTGGGTGGTTAGTTTACGATATCGACACTTTTATCGCTCCCGCGCTGAATCTGGGGCATGTTTGTGAGGTTTGCGAGAAGAGTGAGACTGAGTATGGGTGAGGAGGAAAAGATGTCGAAAAGGTCCGAAACGGGGAGTTGTGGATGTTGAAGAGGTGAGCGAAGAGGATCTGGATATCCTCTTGGTCGAGGTATGCCCGGATATACTCCGTAGGAAGCTGGTCATTCAACGACGGTACCGAAATATAGAAACAAGTCCGTAAGGAGAGCAAACGGATCGCAGCTGAATTTGCGTACGTAGTGTACTGACTTCCGATGTGCATGCAGCCTGCAGGATGTCACGGCGAGACAGGCATCGCCTCCAGTAATTTTAGAACCAGGAGGTCGTACAACATTGCCAAGCTCGTCAATCTCTGGTCTGGTCGAGTTACACAGCTGTGAGCTCGCTGATACTTTCCCCCTTCACTTCCCAGGGTCGCGCTATTTCCTCCTTGAATCCTTTCAAGTTTCAACTCCACATCACCATGTGGAGCCTCTACTATCTTTGCCTTCTAATCTATGCGTTCAGCCTACAAGCACTAGGCGACGCAAAGAAGAGAACCCTGACGATTGATGTCGTTAGTTCTCGGATCGAAGACTACCTGAAATCAACTCAAGATGCTTCGAAGTATACTAGACCTATATTCTACAACTCAGCACTGCCATCTGGCTGTACACTAGCTGTAACAAACATTCCCTCCTTTTTTGATCGGTCTATGATCTAAAGACCAGATAGTGCTCCTTCCTTGCCTATGTCCAACCAGGGCAGGTCTCGTATCCGAATGATACGGTATATGTTGAAGAGTCCAAGTACTGGTCCCTCCAGCAAGCTTCAGCTTTGCCGATCTGTCGATTCTCTCCCCAGAGCCCTCTTGGCGTCTCGTTGGCGGTATTGACGGTTCGAAGCACGAAATGTGATTTTGCCATCAAGAGCGGGGGGCATGCTGCTTTCGCTGGGGCTTCAAACATCAACGGGGGACTCACCATCGACTTGGTCAATCTGAACCAGATCATGCTGTCTGCTGACCAAAAAGAGGTGGCTGTGGGTCCCGGGAACTTGTGGATTGATGTTTACGACGCGCTGCAGCCGAAAGGACTTTCCGTCATCGGAGGTCGAGTGTCTGATATTGGAGTGGGGGGATTCACCACCGGTGGAGGGATGTCATTCTTCTCCGGACGGTACGGGTGGGCGTGTGACAACGTCAATACCTATGAGGTAACACGGATGCAGCTCCCGCTCCTTCATACTCTGTACTGATCAGCTCTAGGTGGTGTTTGCCGACGGCTCGATCAAGAACGTCAGCCGCTCCACCGATCCGGATCTGTATTATGCTCTCCGGGGCGGAGGCAACAACTTCGGCATCGTCACTCGTTTCGACCTTGTGACCTTCCCCCAGGGAGACCTCTGGGCCGGGTCAGAGACGTACATCTACAGCAGTGATACGTCGGCCTCTCTGATCAACGCTTTGTATTGGCTGAACATCAATTCTCCCGGGGATGAGTACGCACAAGCCATTCTAGCATACGCCTATGAACGATCGATAGATACCTACCTCATCGTCACGGACCTTCAGTACGGGAAGCCTGTAGAGAACCCATCCATATTACGAAACTTCACTGGCACTCGGGGAGCCATATCAGACACGCTTCGCATTACCAACCTCACGGGGTTGACTGCCGAATTCCAAAGCTTCAACCCCAAGGGCTTTCGGTTTGTGTAGCGAAAACCCAGCACATGGAACTACAGCGCTGATATTCCAACAGCCAGACATTTTGGACGCTGACGACGAAGAACAGTCCGGTTCTCCTGTCACAGATCGTCTCCATCTGGATGGAGGAGGCCAACAGAGTGAGAGACGCAGCCAACATCATCCCCTCCATCAATTTCCAAGCCTACCCCACCAATCTGATCTCGCACTTCAGCCAGAACGGCGGAAACGCAGTGGGCATCACCACGGCTGACGGACCACTCGTCGGTAACCATAACCCCGCCCCCCTTTCCAACCCTTATCATTCTCCTATCTTTCTTTCTTTCTTTCCTTCTTTCTTTCCTTCTTTCTTTCCTTCTTTCCCCGCGGTCCCCAAACAAAAGCAGCTCACAAAGCTCATTCTCGCATCCTGAAAAGTGCTCCACCTCGCCTTCTCCTGGTCCTCCAGCGCGGACGACCGCCGCATCACGGAGGCCGCGCGCGCCGCGATCCGCCGCGCGAACCAGACGGCACACGACCAGGGCCTCGGGCACCCGTTCCTCTACCGTACCAGAACTACGCCGCGCGGGAGCAGCCCGTGTTCCCGAGCTACGGGCCCGAGAGCGTGCGGAAGCTGAGGGCGGCGAGCAGGAAGTACGACCCGGAGGGCGTATGGCAGAAGCTGCAGCCGGGGTACTTCAAGCTGTTTCCTCATCTGATCTGAGAGGGCGCGGAAGGGTATATATCGGTATAGTACAGTAGGAGGAGGAGGTGGAAGAGGAGGAGAGGTGGCGGATATAATCAACTCACGGATCGACGCTCTCACATACCTGTTTTGAGGGTTTTACTAATACTTGTACGAAGTAAGTAATAAAGTAATGCGTGCGTGCATGGTACCGTCTCATCCGCAGCGGCGACACTCTCAGGGGTTTTTCTTCAGCGTGTCATTTTTCTTTCCCCCTTTTTTTTTTCTCCTCAGAAAGACTGATAATACTCCATCCTTTCCCTACCTCGCTTACACGTCGCGAGAATAAATAAAGGGGGTTGGGGAGGAGCTTAGCCGATAAAGGAAAGCAAAGACACGTGATCCGACCGACATTTATACCTACTTACAGTCGCGATGGAAAGGAATGGAATCGAATCGATAAGTAGTAGTAGTACCGGTAGTACCGGTAGTACCTAGTAGTAAATGGCGCCACAGAGCCCCAACCCCAGCCCCAGCTCCAGCCCCAGCCCCAGCCAGCCAAGAGCGCGACCCGCACCCCCCGCATTCCGCTCCACCTTTGCTGGGACCAGGGAGATCAGAATCAGAATCAGAATCAGAAATGCCCGTGTCCCGTGTCCCGTGTCCCGTGTCCTTCCAGCACGAACGCGACTGTACCGTCCCCGTCTCCGTCCTGGTCCCCCGTCCGAGCGCCGTCTCGTCTCGTACTGTAGCCAGCCAGCCGCCCGTACTGTACTGTACTGTACTGTACTGTCCGTCCATAGGTATAGGTATACCTAGGTAGGCCGCAAGGGTCGGCCCAGCGCGGCCCGAAGCAGCGAAACGGCGCGCGACGTGAAAGTGAAGTGAAGTGAAAGTGAAGCGAAGCGAAGGGCAGATCTGAAGCTTACCGTAGCTTAGCGAGGAGGACGCCGCCGCCGATCGATGGGTCTCGGGTTCTCTCGTGTGCGTGTGCGGACGGGGGTGGTGGGGCGGTCGTGGGATGGATGGGTGGATGGATTGATGGATTGGAGGTGGAGTTTGGGTCGTCTTTTTATTTCCGGAAAAAAAAAAAAAAAATAAAATAAAGTCTATATTTTTTTTTTTTTTTTCACTTTTTTTCTTTTATTTTCTTTGCTTTCTTTTCTTTCCGTCTCTGAGAAATAGGAGATGAAAATAGAGGACAAAAAGGGGGGGGTTTTTAGGAGGGAGGGGGGAAGCACTGGCATGGCATGGCAATGGCGTTAAGTACCGGGTACCTACCTAGGAAGAGACGTGGAGTCCGTGTTCCCATGCGGGATTGGGGTTGGCTTGCTCGCTTCCTTTGGGAGCTTGGGAGGAGCGAGGATGTGGCTTTGTGCAATATATAAGGTATATACCTATGTAGATCCCCCGAACATGGTTGGCAAAGCAGAGGTGTAAACAAGTGCCTGGGAATCACGAGGTCGTTCCCCGTCCGTGTTCATCATCACTTTACCTTGGAAGTCGGATTCGAAGAGAGGGGTGGGTAAGTAGGTACCTACCGAGACGAAGAGTCTGCTTCTTCGCTTCGCTTTTATGGCTTGATGGCTTCGGTTACGTTGACGTATGGAACGTATGTTGGCGGCTGGCTTGCCCGTACGAAAAAGGATGGATTGGATGGATGGTTGGGATGAGGAGGTTCTGGTAGTAGATGCCCAGCGGTATGAACGATCACTTGTCGAGTGGCTTGCGTTGGGAATAGCTGGAGAGGGGTTCCCTTCCGTAGGTGAGGTTCGTAAAAGAAGAGAGAGAGAGAGAAAGAAAGAAAGAAAGAAAAACATACGTATTATTTCCTGAGCTGTAACTTGTAACTAAGGAAGTAATAGGCAAAGAGTCAAAGCATGAGAACGCCTTTCAGACCTCCTGATGACAGGCTTGGTCCCGTATTTCTTGTCCAGCTTCAGACGAACGCAAGATGGTATCTCTCACGGCCCTGGGACCGCTTGATTTGTCGTCGACCCCAGATCTGGCTCAGCTCAGGAGTGTGCTATATGCGTCGTTCTGCCACAAGGCAACAATCCACGTACCGTACTTGTAGAGAGTCGGGAGCCAGCTTACCTGTCGGTATGCACCCCGACAGTGCCACAACTGCAGCAGCAGACCCTTGCCCCAGCTCTATAGATAGCTGGTGTCTCAAGTGCTGCTGGTGCGGGTATTCCCCCGCGGGCCCACGACTCGCCGTCGGCACCCTTCTGAGCCCCCAGCACCACGCTCTGTGACCGTTGTTCGGAACGGAGGCCAGGACATACATAGACGCAAGGGCTGAGTGAGTGAGGCTCAATCAACTGCGTGCGCGCTTCGATTAGTATAACCACTTCCAGAGGGGTAGGTTGCGAGGAACCTCTATGCTGTAAATATGTATATATTTGTATATATTTGTATATCTATATCTAGGTAGTAAACAGATAGATAAATATATACTTGTGCAACGCTTGTGCAACGCGTATGGCCACCGTGCCGCATCTGTGTCTCTCGCGACCGATGCTTCTCTGCGTCTCTGCGTCTCTGCGTCTCTGCGTCTCTGCCTTTCCTCTCCGTCCAGCAATGTTCCCGTTCTGCGTTTTCCGGTCTGTGTGTGGTCTGTCTCTGTTGCCGGCGCAGATAGGTTCATGCTTGTTGTGCCGACCACCAGACCCGGCACGGCAGTGTCGTCGGGTCTTTCGCTGAGTAGATCCTCCCGTGACGAGCGCTCCTCGGCCCTGCAGTGGCCGACGGGAGGGCGATCACAGGCTGGCTGGTACTGTCTATTGTTCTTCCTTTGCTGCTTGTTTGATAGTTAGCATGATTCGGAATTAGGCGGTGCTTCGCTCGCTCGTTGGGTGGGCGAGTGGGGTTGTTTTGTGCGGCCATTTGTGCCATTTGGTTGGTTGGCTGATGTGAGAGATCGGGGCTATGGAGGAGTTGTTGCTGTTATTGTCGCTGTTGTTGTTGGTGCTATTATTGTTGTTGTTATTGTTGTTGTTGTTGCTGTTGTTGTTGTTGTTGTTGTTGTTGTTGTTTCTTCTGTTGTTGTTGTGGGCCTGCGCCAAGAGATAAATATATTGGGGTCTCGCCTTGAGCCTCAAGGATCATGTTTTTTTTTCCTTTTTTGCCCACGGCTATATATATCAGACTTTCCTTGGCTCCTCGGTTTCACGTCCAACTATTTTGGTTGACAGCCCCGGAAAAGGGGTTTGATGTTGACGTCGCCGCCAGATGCATGACAGCATACTCCGTTGATGGACCTCGGATCAGTGGACGACGTCCTTACGGACCAACTTACTCGTGCTCGACTCCCCATGTCAAGCACAGGCCTCCCCCTGTCTGGAGAAAGATGGGCTCAACAGAGTTATTACAGTACATTCTTGCAACTCCATTCGAATCCAGTGCGCCGCCTCCTTTCTTTTCTTACCTCCCTTGGCTTCCGATTTTGACTTTAACCACAGCCACATCCTCAACCAACCTCAACCTCATCCTCAACCTCATCCTCATCATTATCCTCCTTCCCATCCTCCCTCTCATCCTCATCCTCAACCACCACAGGAGAGAGTCCGGATCTTCCCCCCCCCTCATCTGGACGACTGCTATTCCTCCCCTCCTCACTCTCTCTCTCCCTCCCTCCCTCCCTTCCTACCAGACCTCGTCCACATCGAAACGCTGGGGACTTTTGGAGTCTGCCGACGGAAGAAGATAGGAAATGGTAAAGAATCAATTTGAAATGATGTTGGCCATCGTCGATCCAGGCACCCCTCGGCACCCAGAGCACGAGATATTCTCCTCTCCGGCCATGCGGATGTTCCAGCGGATATCATTCGGTCTCCTCCCAAGCTTCATACAGCGGAGGGTGCGCCCTGGCTACAGCAAGCCCCCCCGACTGCATCCGACTTCATATCTAGATGGTTTGCGTGGCGTATCATCGTTCATCGTGTTCATGGGACACTATACCGAAGAAACCCTGGGCTGGTATACGGAGCCGTACGGGGCCTTCGAGGATGGGGCCCCTTCTTCTCCCTTACAATTACCGTTTGTGCGGGTGATCTACTCACCTCGGCCGATGGTTCATATCTTTCTAATCATATCCGGATTCGTGCTCTCCTACAAGCCGCTCAAGCAGATTCATTCACAACAGTACGCCGCCCTCGCCAACACTCTCTCGTCCTCCGTCTTCCGCCGGGCCCTGCGACTATTCCTCCCCTCGTTCATTACCATGTTCATCATGGGCATAGCCCTGTATTACGGCTTGTCGGTACCACGATACGCCCAACGGGAAATATCTCTATCCGGGCAATTGAGTAACGTCTGGATGACCTGCTTGGGATTGCTAGGGGCGTCTTGGGCAGTGAACGATCTTGGGTACCCTCAACCGCCGTACAACCCGGCGCTGTGGACGATTCCGGTCGAGTTCGCGCAATCGTTATTGCTCTTCGTGGCTATTCTCGGACTCTCGCGGTGCGTGACACATGTCCGCCTCTTCTTACTCTTCGGCTTGATGACTTTCTGTTTCCACGGTGGCCAGCTCTACACGGTGGAATTCCTGGGTGGGATGTTCATTGCGGAATTGACACTTCTGCAAGAACGCTCGCTCCACTCACCGAAACCAAGCCCCACCCTCATCCCCAAATTCGAAGAGAGACCAGTTGTGCCAGACTGTGGATCCTCGGTCGGGTCACGGCTGATCCAAGCATTTTGGATCGCAAATGTCATCAGCGGCCTCTTCATAGCCTCTTGGACCAATGGCCATGTGGAAGAGGCATGGGGGATCCGTTTCCTGGACAAACTCACCCCGGCTCCGTACAATGGCCAGCGAGTCTGGTTCTGCCTCGGCGCTTTCCAGATCGTGGCTGCTTGCACGCAGCTGCCCTCCCTCCAGCGGATATTCACCACGGAAATCCCGCAGTACTTGGGGAGCATCTCGTACGCTCTGTACCTGATGCACAACCTGTGTCTGACGATCTTGGAGCCACGCTTTAATCCCATCTTCGGGGAGGTTTTCAGCATGAAGACGTTCTGGGGCCGACAGCTGACGTGGTTCGCGGGGCTTGCTGTATATGTGCCGGTGGTCATCTGTGTCGCTGATCTGTTTTGGCGGCTTGTCGACACTCCGACCGTCAAGTTTGCGAAGTGGGTTGAGGGAAAGTGCGTGGTTGAGAAGAAGTCGTGAGACGACGGATTTAATGGGTTGTATACGTAGTTCTGCACTAGCGGCGTTTGGACATCAGGCGCACGACGTGGGAAGCTGGATGGATTGAATCTGGAATTTTGAAAATTACATGAGCGAAACGCGACGACGACGGCACATAGAGTGGTACACTATGAAGATTTACTTTCTTTGTCCATGGATCCGACGAGGGCGACCATCACGGCGTCCACATAATACCCCCTACCCCTGGTCGAGTCCTCTTTTACTTTCCACGCCACTACGGAGTGCACGCCGTCACTATTGGTACACATAATCATGTATATACATATATAAAGAGAGAGAGAGAGTAGCAAGATTCACAGGATAGCTTAATCACCCCGTCAAAATTCCCGAAGCTTCTTCTCCACCGCACCGTCTGTCTAGCGATGGGTAACAGCATCGCCTCACCTACGCACGTCTATCTAGGTATCTCGACATCTTGACAGCCACGACCGATCGCATCCGACCCACCTAGCATACGCAAGCTGTGAACGCACGCCCATTCCGCAAGTACCGGTAGGTACTAACTAGTACGGTAGGTGTGCCAGCCGGGGCCGGGAGGAGCGCCCTCGAAATCCGTCGCGGGATCCTCCGGCCGGGGGGGCTCCATTCCGGAGGGAGGGAGGGAGGGAGGGAGGTACTTACTTCCTACGGTAATATACCCCCTAGCTATACTTTTCGTTTTTGCATTTTTCTTTTTCTTTTTCTTTTGTTTATTTGAGAAGGGAAGGAAGGAAGGAGGGAGGGAGGGAGGGAGGGAGACGGTACTACGAATGGGGAATGGGGGATGGGGGATGGGAATGGGGAATGGGGAATGGGGGATGGGGAATTGTTTTGTGCGTGGCTTTTCTCTCTCTTTCTCTTTCTTTTCTCTCAAAAATGGAAAAAAAGGGAAAAAAGGGAAAAAAAGGAAAAAGGGAAAAAGGGAAAAAGGGAAAAAGGAAAGGAAAAAGAGAAAGGAAAAAGAGAAGAAGAAGAGAGAGAAGGAAGG